TAACCACTTATCCAGTTACAATATAATTGAATGATGTTAGTGAGCTCTTTACATTTCTACTCCCGTGAAAGTAGTGCGAATGAGGTAAGCATCGCTTGCGTGGCTTCCAACATCAGAACATATATCCACACTTCTCATAACCAGATCCATTACGCTTTGGAATCAACGATCTTTTCTCTTCGACCTCTCTTGATCAGACCTATCGAAATGACTCTGATCCTTACTTCAATTCGAATAATGAACCTTTCCTTTCCCTATTATCCTGAGCAGACTCACCACTATCCCTAAAAGAAAATCGTCGCAAGATCTCGAATCCAATCAAGGAACTACGGTCGCTCATGGCCTCAGTCAAAGCCGCAATCTTGTTGATAACGGATTCAACAACGATGAATAACAGGAGGACAGCCCTCAGCAGAACAGTCGTCCAGGAGATGAGTATTGCTCGGTTTCCTTCGGCAGTCTTGACATCAATGATGTACGCTTTTACTTTCGGAAAGCCGAAGATCCATCCATGATGAATTGGAATGCTGATCACATAATGTTTTCCACAAGTCCTGGTAAGCTTTACTCACTCCAAGCATACGTCCCGGAGACTGACTCAAAGAATCAAAGACATAGAGCTACAAGAATTGGCACTCGATACCAAAGACAGCCGGGGGGAGCATGATGCTCAAGTTCTGGCGCCTTTCAGTCGACCCGCTATACACGACGATTCATCAGCCTCGCGGAACTATCTCATGACCGTATCACAGTGCCACACTTGCTCTTACGCGCGCTGGCTTTGATTAAGACGACTTTCGCGATTGGCCCTGAAGAGCCATCAAAATGCCTCCGAAGCACAGTCGAAGGATCGCAAATCCCTTCGAAGAGTTGCATTCTGGTATCGAGATGATAAAGGCGACTTTTTCGTCCAAAACTGGGACAACGACAACGGCTGACATCGAAGAGATAATCTCCCCGGGCAAGACAGGAAAAGCCAGGGTTGGCTATTTCGGTACCGTCACTAACGGTAACTAATTTGACTTCGTCCTATTGGACGAATCACAAAAGGTACTGTACCGCTATCCATTAATAGCTAAGTTATACCGGGTAGTCATAGTATCTGCTGACAAGCTCACTACTCTGTAGTACTCGATCATAACGTATAGATGGAATGCAGGGCAGAAAGAGCTCATCTGGAATACTTTAAACTGGATGGTAGCGATGGCAGCTAAGCAATCCCCTTAGGGATCGGATGTCATGGATGAGTAATTAGAAGTATACATTAAACCAATCTCTGTTCTACAAGCAATCAGAAGTATACATTAAACCAATCTCTGTTCTACAAGCAATCAGATGAATAGTTTAAGCGATTTTACAACTCAAGGATGGACGATGTGAATCGTTATCCTGAAATCTTGATGGCTGGTTGGTTCAATTACTGTGGATCCTCGCCATAAAGTTATAACGAGCCTTTTGAGCCGGGGAATTCCGCCCCCAAATACTAAATTCGTTGCTTTCGCCATATAGTGAAATTCGTAGGTCAAGACCATTCCTACATACAGAATTCGCTATATAGCGGAAGAGTTATACTTGAATAAGTAAGGATTTATATCTATTGAGAAAGATAAGATCCTATGGATCACGTGGTTGGTTTTTTCAAAGATCAGTCTCAGAAAAAATGTATATATCTACACCAAATCGACATTTAAAAACCTAGATTCGCTACAGCAAAATCCTCGTTGTAACGAACTGGTCAGCCTTTCCCAATTGATTCGTTATAGGGAGGATCCACAGTAGCTAAGTTCTTGAGGTGAGCAACTCGCTTGGTGAACCGCCTAGTCACGTGGCTAGGTTACTCGGGAACACCGACACAAAGCAGTACTAGGCTAAATACTAACCTGGACACAAATTTTCCAGATGGCAGAAAACAAACTCGCAACAGCTGGGGGATGGGTTTAATAGGCAGAGCAAGAGAAATACATGCTTATTGCGATTATCAAAGATCAAAGCTCTGTGAGCCTTCTCGAAAGTCTATAAGCTATATCTACGGGCTATTACGTAGCCTTCTATATACTTATCACAGGCTCGGTGCTTCTTCTCTTCTTGGCCGCGTTCATTTCCAGGCCCTTGGCTGTTGACCACGCTGCTATTGACGATTTGATAATTGGTACACTTTCAGGGCAAGCTTGATTTCCATCGAGAGTTCATGTAGCAGTACCAGTAGCATGGAACAAAGGAAGATTGTTGTATAGAGTAGATTGGACCCTTGTTGCAACAAAACTTTTCAATCCACAGGGTATATGCTATACTGTGTACCTACCTAGCACATACGACCACAGGGTGTGGAAAACAGGGCTTCCCGTCCGCTCAGCCGTACTTAAGCCACACGCCGGGAGGTTAGTAGCTGGGTGGGTGACCACCAGCGAATCCCTTCTGTTGTATGTTTTTGTCTTTTTACTAACTCTTACCACACCCCCCGAAAGCATCCTAGTAACAGACAGGTATAAGTCATGGAAACAGACCTGGCGATACAGGTCGGGCTGGATTGTGCAAAAATCATCTAACCACCCTCATTTCCTCTTCTACTTTGTTTTTTTCAAGCCCTCTACCCGCAAAGCTCTGTTTTGCATGTACAGTATGCTTTCCCCTGCCTATGCTGCCATCAAGTCACCACTACCATCATCACTAATCCTTTCCCGAAATCTCGACAGAAACCTCACCCCAAGCCCGATAACTCCGGTGCCCTAACCACGTAACTCCTCAACGTCGTCATCTCCGAGTACCCTCCAAGAGGGAGAACCCAGCACTTGCATGCTACCTTGGAGTAGGCCCTCCCGAGCAGCGCTTGGAACCCCATATCCAGGACAACCGAAGGTGTCATTGTCCTACCAGGAGGTGAAATATAGGGCCTGGACCAGAGGTGATTACCGCTCTGCCTCTATGCAGGGAATTCTGTTCACCTGCGGACCGACAAAACAAACTTTCTGTCCGGTGGGCTGCGGTGTAATGTGCAACTGCCGTCATTTTCCTGATGTCGAAAATAACTTGCACCAGGCACTGAGATTGATTTCCGCCATCCTGAAGATAGTGGCGAAACAAGCAGGCCATACTCTTGAGTTGTCTTTGACACGACCATAGAACAAAATGAGTCATTCGTTGTCACCCTGGCGTTATGAGAATACAACAGTCTCGCATTCGTTCTGCTCAGTCTCGACTACGACAACGCTTATTCGTTATGCCTCCTCCAAGAAGAGTTGAGAAGAACCACAAAGGCAAGGCTCGCCACTCGTCGGACCCATCCGTGATATTCTCTATTCCTGAGCTCCTCGAAGCAACCCTCCTGAACTTGGACATGCATACGTTGTTGATCTCGACCCGAGTCTGTTTCACATGGAAAGACCTGATCACGAGCTCGCGCAAGATTCAACAGGCCCTGTACTAAGTTCCTGTCGAGCCGCAACGGAAACCCAGAAAGAATCCTCTCGTAGTGAAAAAGATCTGGCCCGAACTTATTGACACGCAACTTCAAACGCAATATAGACCGGGAGGACACTATTGTGGCTGGTGGAGTTATCCTCACATTGCATCCGAAAAGAGAGAAGAAGCGTATCTGCGCCCTGAGGCAAGTTGGCGGCGGATGCTTCTCCAACAGCCTCCGACCTCAATTGTCCGATTTTGGCACCCTGAGCACCTCGACAAGCCCTATCAGCATCATCATCGCTCCGGACAAAGCTTCAAAACTAGCGCTAAGTGGATGCCAGATGGAGATTATATTCGGATGAAAGATATCGAATACTGGATTGATACCTCAGCGTTCACGCCAGGACCCCTACCTTTCTTATGCTGGGCGAGTTTCGTCCATCTGAAAGAGCTCTCGCGACAGCCCAAGTCAACAGTGCGCAGAAAACACACTCTCAAGCAATATTTGAGCAGAGACCAGACTCTCAAGCAATGTTTGAGCGAGTCTGATCTCACAATCAATACAGAATGCCCTTCCTCCTGGATGCCAATCTTAATTGACGATCCTCATGTACCACTTCGACACTTTCCTGACTGGTGCATATCGAAGGGTGTGAAACTACTGGAGGGGGATTTCTAGGAGCATGGCTTTCACCTCGTCAAGTCGAGTCAAGTTTAGGGACCTCACTTCAAGTCAAGCTTTGCTCGATAATCATTAGCTCGTTTCATGAAAATTCATTACAACTTTTGAGAGCCATAGGCAGATCGGAGAGCGTGACCGTAGCACAATTGCACTATCAAATATGACGATTGGTCACTAGATAACAAAGGGAGACAGACTGAAGACATTGCAATGATGATAAAAAAAAAGGGTAAAAAAGGAAAATGGGGCAAGCCGGGCTTGAACCGGCCACCTCCAGATCTTCAGTCTGACGCGCTCCCAGATGCGCCATTGCCCCGTTTCACGTGACAGTGAATAATTGTATGTTACAGATCCACCCCCAGAATCTACCCCTCAGTACCGTGGTACTAAAACCTGGTCTGATTTTAGCATGGGTACTGGTATCGAGGTGTATCCCCGGCCACTGCACATCCACTGGAGTACGACGACAGAGAGCAGTTTTCCTTTCCTTTAGATATTGTGACCGAAGACTGGTCGTGCATATCACCAGCAGACTTGCTTATACATCGAAACTCATCAAGATAGCCCTTGTCGTATCTATGACCGCATCGGCCGCAAACAGACCATGACCCTGGGCTTTGTCCTGTGGGCCATCTGGGGCTTCATCCTCGGCGGCGCCTTGCAGCCCATACAGTCTGTCTTCCCCCTCTTCGTCATCATGTATGGATTCTTCAATGCACTCGGCGAGATGGGACCGGGGGTTTTTACCTTTCTCTGTGCGGCGTAGTCTTTCCCCACGCCGCTGCGCGGGCACTGGGTTGGTCTGCAGTGGCCGCCGCGGTGGGGAAGGCGGGCGGCTCGATTGGCACTGAGGTGTTTACCCCAGTCCAAAACTCTTTCGCCTCCACAATCTATTCCTAAACAAAACACCCCTAGCAAAGATCTTCCATCATAACACATCAAACCGACAACCGGTACATAAACCACTACAAAGTACCACAGCGTGACCAACCAAGGCCCTAGACCGATCGCTTCCACTCCACATATCGCTCCCTACTCGATCGGATCTCCCGCAGACAGAGCCTCAGCTCCTGCAGCGCGCCCTCCTGATCAGGCCGCAACCGCATCCGGTAAGGCCATTTCGCGACGATGCTGTGTGGTTCCTTGATCCTCGCGCCGACCCGGCTAGCCGCATCCAGGACTGCAAATGTCCTCAGATACCTATTGAGAGTGTTAATAATTGCTTGCTCGTGTCCACTGCACTTGGATGCGTGCACCCGGTGTGTGCTCAGCGTACTCACCTATCGAAGAGTCTGTCGACTGGCGCGAAGAGCTGGAGAGCGGAGGCCTTTCTGAGGGACGCGGCATCAAAAACAGACCATCGTTCCGTCTCCGGGCTGTATCTTCTTAGGAGTTCTTGGGTTTGAGGATCGGCGAACATGGATGTGAGCCCCTCATCGAGGGTCGTGACGCTGCTGATGGCGGTCGTGAACAGAGTGATGAGGGTGGCGTGTGGGTTCTGCTGCGGAGGCCGAAGCAAGGGGATCATGGTCGAGAGGGTATGATAGGCACCCATGTGATTGTTGTCTGCAAGATTCGAGAGCTGGGAGAGGATGCTTAGTACCGGATGGATGGATTATTCTACTCGGGATCAGTGGGGCTGCCGGTAGGGGGTGGGGTTCTGTTTGGTTGTAGGTTTGTATACTTACTTCAATTCGGTCAAAGGAGCCCTTATCGAGACCTTCTACAAGATGGGCCGCAGTAGTCTGATGGAACTGGAAGGCAATCTTTGTGCTGGACAATCGCTCGACAAAACGGGCCAGCGTTTTGTGGAGGTAGCGGAACAGCTTGCCGTAAACGTCTGCCGTGGCGGGCCCGCTGCGTGTCTCCAGGACGTCTCTCAGCGACCATCCACTAAGCGGATTCGCACGAGCCATCAGAGGCCAGACTCCTCTATACTGGAATAAAGTCCTGGTCTCGCGTCAGTACCAATTCCTTCACATTACGAGGGTACCTGAACGCACGGGTTTGGCTGCACAAAATCGTGGCGAGGGTAACCAAATGGAAGTAGAAGGCCGTCTTGTCTAAATTTATGGTATGCAAGCCGCTGGCGCGGAGAAAGGAAGATCATATGCTCATCGTGAAGGTCCTTCTCTGAAGCACCAAAAACCTGTCCTGTGCGGATCTTCTGGGCACTCTCAGCTGTCAAGCCAGATGGGATGTTGCAATAGGACAGCAGACGAGACCACACCGCGCGTCCTAATGTTACGCTCAGCGAGCAAGCCCTAAAGTTCCAGGTTTTTGAAACGGGTTCCAATCGCTCATGATCGATCGTGGTGTGACAGACGTCCTGAATGAGGGGCCAAATGCGATCCGAGAGCACTCGGATGTCGGATTGCCGCACAAGTGCCGAGTACCAGAGGTGGATTATGCAGTCGATAGCTTCATTGGGGTCATCGAAAACAAGTGCCACAAGGAGTAATATCACATTCCGGATCACGGCATCTTCATCTTGGTCATTGATTGTGATATCAAGGGGGCCACTATAGGCGGTTGGCAGGTCGGCGACGGTTTTGACGACATTGCGGAGGTCTCCTGAGGCTATCGACACAGCCTGTCAGTCATGCACAGAACAATAGACTAGACGGGATTTGATACCTACCCGCAAACAAAAGGCGAAGGTCCTTAGCATAGCTTTCCCCCTCATTGGAGGCAAGCTTCAAGACATCAATCGCAGCATCGGTGTTTCAAAGGTATTTTCTCCTCTCAAACATCTCGAAGCCGCCTTGCGTGAGCATAGGGAATCTTCTCTCAAGAATCCACGCAGGATGCCATGTTTCCTTCTTCAAGAAGGACTTACAGTCCTTCCGATGCTCAGACCAGTGAGTCACTTGACATGTTCTGCTGCAATACTATAAGTCGAGGTCTATGTCAGTACACATCTGGGAATCAAGTAGTCATGTTATAGCACTGACAGTAATTAAGAAGCATCCCTTGCAGGTTGCTCGCCCTTCCTTCTTGCATTCCGTCTTCTCGGGACTCCAGTTCGCGCAGATCGATGTGAGAGAGGTCATTGTATGTTAGTTGCGGGGGATCTGGATGGGTATAGTTACGCCTTCTTCGCTACTGAGAGAATGCCAGGAGATACTGGTTGGGAACTGATCACGTCAGGTACTCGATAGTTTGAAGTTGGAAGCCAGAGATATAGCAGGATAAATGGATGGAAGAGCGATTGTGGGGAGGATGATCTATCCGGAGGCAGGTAAGATGTGACACAAGTTGCTGAGGATGGCTGCTGAACACGATTACTGATGAGTATAAAATACCTTCAAAAGCAAGTGAGAAGATGTGAAAAGGAAATCAAATGTTGAGGTGAGTACAGCGATAGTAAAGTGATAGTAGAACAGGCTTAAACGGGGTGAGGTTGGACGTCTTATCCAGAGACAAGTAGGATATGGTACCTGAAGGTTTCAAAGCTATATGTCGGCAGTAGGCTTATGAAGACATTGGAGGATGTCTTGTAAACGGAACGAGGATTATTTTCCAGACCAATTTGAAAAGGAAGACAGTCCATCACCCAGCTCAAAGCAGCGTTTACAGGTCACGTGCCCGTGAGGGCGTTTGCAAGGAGGGGCAGTGAACAGTCTTTCTACAACCACTAGGGCTACTCATAGATTGTCGGTGTGGAACTCTGTTTGGCAACAGTCCATAGACGATGAGAACATCTATGTTAGTAAGCTGGATACCCTGGTGTTGGGGATGTGGATGTGCTGTGAGTTCAGCCATGTAAGCCTATCTGAGCAGCACTATAACTGAATATGGGCCGCAGCGGGTGGTGGGCAGCTTAACTAGCTGGGCCTCAAAGACCTAGAAGACGTCTCTATGTGACGGGCAAAGGAGCCTGCTTTAATTAAGTTCGATTCGCTGCCTCTCCGTCCGCGATGGATGGCACACCAGTCCTTCCCAAGACTCGTCTCATCTACCTTCCGGAAGACTGTTCGCCCTCATCCTCGTCATCATTATCTCCCATGCCAAATTCTAATACAGCCGAGATAATAATGGGATAACGGAGAGTCGCGAAATCAAGCTACTCCCCCCCAATTCGCGTGATGCCACGATGGGACTACCCGGTATAGTTCAGCTCCTCTATCGCTTCTCATCCGTATCAACCAGATATGATAGCTCCCCATCCGATAATGTTTCGGATCTGCTTTTGGTAGAACCGTCAGACCTCTACCTATTAACTACAGTACTGACGAAATGTATACCCTTCCAAAATGTGTGTGCATGTGCGTGTGTATTTGCACCCATAGTAAATCTGCTTAGGGCTTTGAAGCTGCTCCGGGAGGTGGTCAACCCTATGGGGACTAGTCCCTGAGAGTAGGATCGGAAATGTCCAGCCGGGGCGACTCACCAAAGCGCCGCATAAACGTGGAAGGCAGTAGACAATGCAAACTACTGACCACGGTGGCGAGGGCAGCGACATTGATCCGGACCACGATGTCTGGGATAATTAAATCGCACGGTCGGACGACCCAGCATCTGGCCTGGCCCTCATTCCTGACCCGTGAATAGAGGGGATCACCGTGACGACTCGGGAGGGATTTGCCGTCTTGAGATGCCACTGTCTCCTGGTACCGCCGTGTTGAGAAACCTCGCTGCGGACGCGGTCGGCAACATGATACTATCCCGTACGTGGCCTACAAGTGACAGCACCGAACAAGCTCTATCAGAGGTACAGTCACATCACGTAGCACACGCAAAAGGTGGAAGCCGGTGTGAAGAGACGAGGCGGCGTTGCTGCCGGAAGCGTATTTCCCGGGGTTGCGGACCGCCCGGTGCAGGATGTGCATGACGGTGGAGATGAACAAGGCCCGAGAGGTAGAGGCTTCAGTTGAAAACATAGTCGAGAGTGCGACTGCCGGGGAATGTAGAAGGGGAAGGAAAGTAGGCAAGGAGGGCACCGTGATTCTGTCAACTGTCAGCAATTTGATCATGTAACACTAGAACAAAGAAATGTATACCGAGAGAGTCCCCGAGTGGTGGACCATTGTTCCAGAGCAGAATACCGCTAAGACAATCAGCAAGACACATCTGCTATCCAGTTCAGCAGAGCCTGCGATGCAAGACATTTCTATAGAGTCATCGCATGAAAAGCGCAACTTGCGGATTCTCCAGCTCACACACCCCACAGCATATGGCAAAGTCTGTGCCGCTGCGGTACGGTTGTGGGATGGTGGGATATGTGGGATGCCGTACGACAACCATCTAAGCTTCTAGAAGGCATGCGGAATAATCTGCATCGAACAGATGGGGCCATCTTGAGGCATTTGAATTGCTTGGGTAAGAATCTATCATATGGAACGAATAACTCAGGTAATTTGATCATGATGAGTCAGGTGGGTGAGTGGGTGAGCGGGTGGGTGGCAATGAGGCTATTCCGGTGGGATAATAGAAATGAAACTGACAGAGGAATCAGCAGCAAGACAAGATATATAGGGGCGCAAAGCTATCCCTCAAGCTACCACTTCCTCTTCTTCATCACATTCACTCTGTCAATCAATCAGATATCCCTACTTGTCGACCAAGAACAAAATCAAGCAAACAAATCCTCCCAATCCAGAACAGCCAACGTCGAAATGCCCGCCTTCCAAGGTTCCGTCTCCGTGACGCACATCACCACCGCGACGGCGATCCTTAACATCGACGGGGTGCGCTTCCTGACCGACCCCGTCTTCTGCCCCGCGGGGTCCGAATACGACTACGACGGCTGGGCCAAAGCCGACTGGGCCGCCTGGGGCTACGAGCAGGCCCCGCCCCCGGTGAAGCTGCGCAGCCAGGCCGGCCCGGCGCTGCAGCTGGACGAGCTGCCGCCCATCGACGCCGTGCTGCTCAGCCACGAGGACCACGTCGACAACCTCGACCCGCTGGGCCGGCAGCTCCTCGACGGCCGCCACGTGTTTACGACCCCGGACGGCGCCCGCAACCTAGCCCCGCGGCCGGGCGTGGTCGGCCTCCAGCCCTGGCAGACGGTCGAGGCCGTCCTCGGCGGTAAGCGCTTCCGCATCACCGGCACCCCCTGCCAGCATTTCCCCGGCGGGGAAGTCACGGGGTTCATCGTGGAGTGCGACGCCTTCGGGGTGAGCGACGAGGGCCTTCCCAACGTGGTGTACTTCTCCGGGGATACCGTCTGGATCGACGAGCTGGCGGAGATCCGCAAGAAGTGGCATGTCGCGGTTGCCGTTGTGAACTTGGGCAATGCCTTGTTCCCCACCCCCAGGGGGATGCTGCAGATCACCTTCGACGGGAAGCAGGCGGCCCATCTGATGCGTGTGACCGGGGCGGATGTGATGGTCCCCATTCATTTTGAATCCTGGGAGCACTTCACGCAGCATCAGGAGGAACTGCGACTGGTGTTTAAGGAAGAGGGGATTGACGACAAGGTGTGCTGGTTGACGCCCGGTGTGGAGAAAACCGCTATCTAGGTGTGGTTTGGTGATTGAAACCAAAGGGGCTCGAAAAAGGTTGCCATGGAGAAAAGTCATCGATTAGACTCTAGAGTTCCGTTTGCATCGATTTTTTGTTTGAATTTGGTTTCTCTATATAGACAATTTCCATTTCACTAGAGAATTGTTTAAGGCTCCTGCCCGTTGCCCACCGACTCCCGCCATTCTGTATACAAGAATTAGTAGATCCTACTGTGCTAAACGAGATTAAAGGTGTATTTATATTTATACTAAAAAATATAAAATAATATAAATGTAGGCTTCTCACAGCTTGAAATACAGTTACTGTTTTGGAAAGTCTAAACAAATCCAACATAAGCCCGGTTAGTCCGGCTGTTCTCACCGCGGCCGCGGCGGCTACTATAGTAGTAAATGCAGTCTTCCTATTCATACATAAATTGTGATCAAAAAGCATGTTCATATGTAAAATTATAAATATATTGCATTTAATGCTTTATAGCAAATATTTACTGATCAATTAGCGTTCAGAACTCTGCCTGTACGCCCTGCACCACGCGCCCTATGAAACTTGATGTTGAAATTGTCTAACAATTCGTCCATCTTTCTGGTGTAAATAATATTGCAGAACGGCTGTTTAAATAAACTACAAGGCAGTTAGAACTGTGCATCGATTTTTCTGCCGGTCACATAATAAAGCCTGTACCTGTTTTAGTATATAAAATTCTAATGCACTTTCCTATCTAAAAAGATGGGCCACGCCCCACCGCCTGACGCAGCATAGCTAGGAGCGTGGGCGGGTAACAGGAAGAAGTGCCTTTAACAATTGTCTTTCACTACATCGTCTCTAAACTACCACGTCATAGACAACAAGTCTAAGACCATCAACAGCGGAAATGAGAATTATCGTAGTATATTATGATGCACCCACTCACAACCACCAAGTATCTACCCCGTCCGCCAACACCCTCGCACACGCCGAGATCCAATTCCCTTCCTCGCGCCCGTCCAACGGGGCCGACGCACCCCCGGACCTGCGCGCCTCGATCTGCAGCAACCGCGCCAGCTCCGGGTTGGACTGCGCCTCCCAGAGATGCCGACTATCCGGCGGCGGGAACTGCAGGTCCGAGAGACGCAAGACGCCCCGGTGTTCCTCCCGCCCATCGCCGACCCTGGCCAGCTCGTCTTCTCCCTCCACCATTTTGGCTGTATGCCCACTCAGCCGACAGACCTTGTGCATGGCCAAGCCGAGGCGCTTCAGCTCCTCGACCCCGACCCAGATGCACGCGACCGAGTCGATGGTCCGGTGGTACCGCTCCAGCATCAGCGGGTAGTAGAAGACGCTGTTGCGGAGGCAGGTAGTGACGAGGACGGAGAGGATGTGCGTGTCGTCGGGGGAGAGGGGGAGGATGAGATCCAGCGCGTGCGAAGGCTTGCTGCTCCCATGGCTCGGGCCGTGGCCTGCGCGGGTAAGCACCAGGGAGAAGATGAGATATAAGAGGATCGCCTGGTAGGTGGCTACGGGACATCGCGAGACGATCTCCTGTGTCGGTGCGGTGGGATCATGGTCGGGCGGATCCGCGGTGAATGGGATGGAGCGTGCCCAATTCTCCTGGTGTTGAGTTAGCGTTGAATTTGTGGATAGAAGGTCGGGCGGCCGGTGGAGAGCGGGGTTACCTGCTGTGCGAGGATGGAAGATCCCAGTTTGCGATGGAGATTGATCGCCGCCTCACGCGCCGAGGGGGTCTCGCTGACCCATAAACCGATCATGGAGACCACCTGCAGGAGCAGGAGGGGCTCGTCCGGGGGGCTGAAGGTGGCGCGATGCAGGATGGGCCAGTGGGGGTGGAAGTGGGTGAAGTAGAGGTGGATGTAGGGGGTGAATTGGGAGGTGGAATTGTCTTGGGTGGGGGGAGATGGGGGAGATGGGGGAGATTGGGGAGATTGGGGAGACTGGGGAGACTGAGGAGGAAGAGACTGCACTTCAGGAGATGATGGTGACTGGTGTGGTTGTTGTGGTTGTTGTAGATGCTGGGGGCGGTGGTGGTAAATACAGGGTTGGGGCTGGGCACGACAGCGATTGCAAGGCTTGCCTCCGCCGCACCGCGTCTTGGCCTGCCGGCAGCCCAGGCACGCTTGGGCCGTGCGAGTTGTTGAGACTGCTTGTGGGTCGTCGTGGTGGTCCAGGCGAATGTGACGACGGAGAGAGTCACTGCAAGCTGATTAGTGTTTCATTTTCGAATGATTGCCTCTCTTACAGTTCAGTTCTAACCGACCTTCTGGAGAATGAACGGGCGCAAAAGGGACAGGCCCGGGCCAAGGCCCCCGTGTGCTGCCCTTCATGGCGGTTGCGGTGCTCTTTGCGCTGGAAGCTGGAGTTGCACCCGGCTATTCGACACTTGAATCGAGGACCAGTGTTTCGCAAGGGAGAGGGAGACATCTTTCTGCTTTGCTTCTGCTTCCTACGGACCTTGTGTTCACTTGATGAAGAAGGGGGAGATAGAAATGATGATTCCATCCCACCGGCTCCACAAATCCACGATTTCCATCCCACCGGATCTCCCGGAGTCGCCACTTGCCGCTTCAGAGTTGGTAATCGCGGCAGTCAACCATAGAATTCTGCCCCGCGTAATAGAACAAGAATAAATATCTAGTTGTATTGACTGTCTCATTTGCTCTTTAACAAGCCTATTCTAGTCTGAGTACCGACATGTTGCATCGTATATATATTCAGCAGGCCGGTGAGACCGTCCCGGCATTTTTCAGTCCCAGTTAGAGCCCCAACGAAATCAGAAGTGTAGCTTCTTCTGCACGGTGCTGCACTTCGACAATCCAACCGGCCAGATCTCGGAGTCAACCCTTTTTCCACGCACCGATGTCTAAATCCACTGGTCCAAAGAGTACCCATTCCTGTACGCCAGCGCCGTCTGCGGCCCCTCCGCGTCAATGATATAGGCATACTCGCAGCGATCAAACGACACCTTGGACTGGTCGCGATAGAATCCATCGTACCGGCCATCCATGGCCTCCAGTAGGTTACTCACCGACCCGTCCGGGTGGAGGACCTCCCACGGCTTGATACAAGTCCGGCCCTGGCACGACTTCAGTACGAGCAATAGAGCATCCAGGCGATCAATCACCGCGGGAATGTCAAAGCCCAGGATTGTCGCGTTGGTGGTTGAGACGTGCGGGTGAAGGTTGTTGACTTGGTAGGGGTCGGTCTGGATTTGAGTTTGGTCAGTATAGAGGATATAGTGGGGCTGGGGAGAGTGCAACATACACTCAAATCGTAGAGCTCGTGCTCGTTGTTGCACCAGACGGAGTAGAAGAGGTTGTACTCTTGGCTGAGGATGCGGACGGCCTTGTAGGTGTTGTTGGGAACGGTGGGGGTGCCTGCATTTCATTCTTGGGTGTTAGTAGTCACATTGGAGTTCTTTTGCGGGGGTAAAGGGACGGATAAATGTACCTAGGTTGGACAGCCCACCCTCTAGCATCGCCTGGCCCCAGTACTCGACCGCTACATGCTCGTGCAGCGTGCCCTCAACCTCGGCAACGGGCATGGGAGTCCCGTCGAAGTCGTCGCGGAGCGGCAGGCTCGCCAAGGAAAACAGCGTGGGGGCAATGTCGATGTGAGTAGTGACAATATCCTGCTCCTGACCTTCAGGGATCCCCGGGCCACGGATGAAGAACGGTACGCGGATGTCCTCGTCGAACGCGCAGGTTTTGCCCGGGGGCAGCCGGTGCTGGCTGATGTGGAAACCATTGTCGGACGTGTAGATAATGTAGGTGTTGTTGATCTGGGCACTCGCCTCCAGGCGGGTGATGAGAGAGTCGACCAGTTCATCGACACCCTGTAGGGCTCGAAGTCGCTGTCGGTAGTAGTGGTCGTTATAATCGATGACGGATTGGTTGCGGTAGGGAAGTTGGTGGATCCAGCTGACACCGGTGGGCTACGACGGTCAGAACCTGGGCCCGCTAGATGGTAAAGATAGATTGTGACGGACTCACCTCCTTGGGATTGAAGTTGGCCGTACGCGGGACTTTGGCGTCGGGGAAGAGGTGCTTATGACGTTCTTCAGGGATGGGCTCATCCATCCACAACGGCCCGGCTCCACCACCGTAGGTCCCGTTCATGTTCGAGTGAGGTGCGATCGGGGTCACGGTGAGGAAGAAGGGCCGTTCGCCGGCAAGAGCATCTTCTAAAAAGCCCATGGCTTTCTCGGTCAGGACCTCGGTGGTGTGACGGCCCAGATAGCTGACAGGCAGGTCGTGGTTGCGCTGATACGTGGCGTTCATGTAGTCGTAAGTGTAGGGGTCCAGTACGAAGTCAGAGCCATTGAACCCGGCGGCATGGGGCTTGTTGTAGTTTTCGACAGATTGTGCGTTCATCAACTTGCCGGCGTAGTATGTGTCGTACCCAGCTTGCTGCATCCAGACCGGAAGGTAGTTGTCATTGAACCCTTGACTGATAAACTTGGGATACCCACCTATCTCCGGTCAGTCTCAGAGCGGCAGGCCTAGGGGCAGCAACTTACCCCATGGGGGATGCACATCTGTCACATTCGTGTTATGGGCCTGCCGTCCAGTCAAGAGGCTGACCCGCGACGGGCAACAAAGGGCCGTAGTCACGAAGTGGTTGACGAAAGACATTCCCTTGTCTTGCATGTGCTTTGTAGTGAAAGGCATATACGAGAGAGAGTCCAATTTCAGATCCTGGTCATCAGCCATGATGAAAAGGAAGTTGGGCGGTTTCGAGACCGACTGAGCCGCGGTTAGGCCTGGCTCAAGGGCAGCCATAAGGCCCCAAGTGATAGCCAAGCGATCTCTGGACAACTTCATGTTGCGCAACTGTTGAGCTGGTTGGAATGCCACAAGAAACCACTGTATTCCTCGACGCCGGTATTTAAACCTTCCTCGACAAGTCGCTTGAGCATGATGCCACAGGACTCGGCTTTCCACACTTTCTAGCGTGCCCCTCGATGGGCGCACCTTCGCCGAATCCTGCGATCCTTCCCGACGCCTATGTAGATATGATCCCAATGATCATCAATCTTTTCCTGTTGAGAAAAGGTCAAATGAACGGCTATCGTGATACCAAAGCCATACTTCAAACCCTCGGTGTGGGTCACCGAGGATTATACGAGGACGCTAGCTGAGGGGAGGTGGAGCCGGTCTTCAGGCCTCAGCCAACTGGAAAAGGGGTTTGAGTCTTGCAGGGTCTTCAGTTTGTGGTCCAATGACCCACATTCCCCATTTGGAGGCTCAAGGTAAGCATATTTGTCATGCCGGTGGGATGCTTGCCACGACAAGAACCCTCTTCCAGTATTATAGATAATTTAATTTGCTTGAGGTGGCAAATCCTGGCCTGGGTCTTGAAGGATTCCTAGCGTGGGGTGCTACAGGCAATGCCCACAAGGAACCCTCAACAAAATAATATTTGCGTCAAGGATCGGTGAACAAATACAGAGCGCTGAATTCGGGCCTAGATGGCCCGTCTTTGTGGGCAAATCCTCACGTGGAGGTGGAGGGAGAGAAAACGTCCAGCAGAGGACGAGTGTCGCACGAGACTGCTGCGTGAACCTCCATCACAGCCTGACGAATTCGTTGCATCGCGCTCGCAGCAATGGGCCACGCCTCCCCCATCGACCTGAGGACCCCTAAATTCAGCGCCAAATACTGCTGCCTGGGCCCCGGGGGTTGCAGGCCATCGCTGAGCATGAGTGCTACGTGTATCACGGAGCTTATCACCAGTGTGCAAGCAAAGAACGGGCTGTGGTTGATGACCGAGGGCGACAATGACGCGAGTCGGGAGAGTTGGACGGCACTCTCTGCTACTTTTGCGGTGTGCAATTGAGGGTCCGGGGAAGTGGTGACGAGGGCGGGCGGCGACGAACAAAGGATGCGGCCGGTGATGGGGAGAAAGGCCAAAAGGCAAGAACGTGGGAAGTGCAGATAGATACTGGCGCAGTGCATCAGCATCACGGCCTGCATCATTGCCTCCTCCAAAACACCATTCGACTGGAGAATGGGGCGTTGACTGGATGGCAATCGATGGAACCACGCGGTGATGGCGGCGCTGAGTACGTCGAGCGTCTCCTGAGTGATATGCGACTCGCCGGCGCGCAAGCATTTCCGTAGCATCATGGCGGCTTCGATCCGGTAGGCACCGGGAGAGAACTCGTCATCTCCGCAGAACAGACTATTCTGTTCCATGTCGGCGAGGGTGGGCGGGAGAGGACTCATAATACAGCCTGAGTGATACTCTTCTGGACCGCAGGGAAGGGGGACTTGGGGCGTCTCTCTCATCTCAAATTGGAGGTATCCATCGGCCTGAACAGCTGCGAGTAGCACATCAACCACAAAAATCTCCCACCACGTCCGTCGGAGACTCTCGGCCCTCAAGGGAGCGTCTACGCTAAGCGCGTCGGAAGCCTCGCGACCGTGCAGACCCAATTCCAGCGCACACTGGAGGGCCTGGCCGAGACAAGACCGAGCCTCGTGACTTTGCTGTCGCCCGTGTTGTAAGATGGCCAGAAGCAGGAAGGCCTGTGTCTTTTCGACCGTCAAATCGGCGGCCTGCACCGCCAGAAGTAGTGTCTTGCTGCCATCATGGAAAAACTGAGGCGACAAATAATGTAGACTGGTAAACTCCATGATATCCAGTAAGTAAGAAGGGGGATTGGATTCTAGGAGAGTTTCCATTGGGGGCAGGAAAGGATGTGCCTGGTGAAAGTGGAGGTAGTAGAGGGAAATCAACTGCAAGCCTTGTTCCTGTCCCCGGAGCGAAGCGAATTGCTGCAGATCATGTTCATGTGATTGTGGCTGTTCGTGGTGTTGTAGACTTTGCTCATTCACCTCAGCCATTGACTTCAATGGTACAGGTGAGGCGAGGGATAAAATCGAAGAAGATGGCAAGGCTGGGCGACATTTGCGACCACGGCGAGAGGGAATGAAGTGGCATGGAAGACCAATTGACTGGCACCGAGTACATCCAGCCAGATTGCCATCACATTTTAGGTGCTTGTCTCGGCAGTTTAGACAGGCTACAGGGGTAGTGCAGTCCATGATGACGGGATTGAATAGGGCTTGTCTAATGGGGGGGAGTATGATATAACATAAGTACGGAGTATGCGTTGGAAGAAACGGTGGGTGAAGTAGAAAGAAGGAATGGGAGGAGCAGATGGAACGGATGAACGGATGAACGGATTATTCATTCCTCCGGCAACAACATCAACATCATCAACATCAACATCATCATTCAGGAGTCTATAGCAGAAAAGACCATTCTTTCTCCTTTCCATCCAGAGTCACGCTATCTATTCTACCTCAATCTCCAACTCTTCGTCGAGTTCACACAGACTACGCCCAACCCAGCACTTATACTTGCCCACATCCAATCGCCACTGCCCGGTTTTCACATCATACCATCGCAGCTCCGATCCAGGAATGGTGATAGTCACTTCGCGCGACTCTCCTGGAGGGACGGCGATTTTGGCGAAGCCGGCTAACGTTCTTGGATAGCTGATAAGGCCCATCTCCTCGATACGTGCCGAGGGAGCCACGTACACCTGCACCACTTCCTGCCCGTCGCAACCCCCAACGTTCAGGACCCGGGTGTGGACTGAAACCCTGGTCTCAGGAGAAGAACCAACGCTGAGGGTGCCGCTGATGCGAATATCTGCAAGCTCAAAGCGAGTATACGAGAGGCCGAACCCAAATGACCACAGAGGCGGAATCCCCCGGGCATCGAGATGCCGATACCCAACCAACACTTCTTCCCCAAATGTGTTGCGATCCTGCGCAGCCTCTCCAGGAAACCAGGCGCTCGAGCCATGATCCTCGAGTCGCTGGGGAAAGGTGATGGGAAGCTTGCCCGAGAAGTTACAATGACCCAGGAGAGCCTCCGCCAGGGCCTGGCCGTTTTCCTGGCCCTGGTACCAGGCCATCACGATCCCTGCCGCGGCATCCGCCCAAGGCATAGTCACCGCACTGCCCGACTGCACGACGACAACCGTATTGGGGTTGGCTGCACAGACAGCGCCCACGAGCTCGTCGGTGCGACCCGGGAGCTGCATGTGGGCCCGGTCGCCTCCCTCCCCTTCGGAATCCTTGTTGTGGCCGACGACGACCACGGCCACGTCTGCTTCGCGGGCCGAATCAACAGCCTGCTCCAGCATCAGCGTCTCGTCCCGCTCCAGGGCGAGTCCCACGCGCACGCCCGATATGCGAGGGAATAGCGTGTTGTCGAAGGCGTCGACGAGCGGCAAGGTCACGACATTGTCTACTCGCAGTCGGTAGGGGCGGCCAGCTTCGAGATCCATGCTAGCAGTCCGATCCTCGCTCGAACAACCCAGGAATCCACCAGTCACAACGTCCCACTCACTGTTATCGATGAGCAGCTCATCGTCGAGGAACAACTTGGCTTTTCCGGTGTTGGCTAGGCTCCAGGTGTAGCGGCCCGATTCGGATGGAGTGACTACCCCGACAGCCTGGTACGAGTACGGCCGACCCTCCAGCGCGGCTGGAATATCCCCATCACTCATGAGATAAATGAGCGAGTCTTCCCACAGACTGGTCGCCACGACCGGCCCCTCGAAAGCATGGCCTGCAAAGAAGCTCACGTGCAGACCCTGGCGGGATCCGTCCGGGACGGTCAATTGACCGCCCAAAAGAGGGGGGCGCAGACTGTCGCGGATGCCGGAGCGATATGTGAGCTTAATGTCCGGGTTCGCAGCCCGAAGCGCGTTGCGGAGGCACTCTTCGGGCGTGGTGATGTAGAAAGGATTGACGGCGGCGCTGCCCGCTCCACCAGCCGTGGGCTTGCGAGCGTTAGGCCCAATGATTGCGATCTTCCGCAACCTCGAGGGTTGAAGAGGCAGTACGCTCTCGTTTTTCAGCAGCACAAGGCCACTTTGCGCCGTCTCGCGCACGATCTGATGGAGCGTAGGGTCGTTGGTGGTTTGTTCGGAGGACACCTCCGTGGAATCAGACGAGTTGTTCAGTAACCCCGTTTGTTCCAGGAGCTGCAGCATTCGTCGCACACTCGGATCGACGTGTGTGGCCACATCAATGCGACCGGCCTGAATGGCGGCTAACAGGCGCTCACCCCGACGTACCGGCGGACCCGGCATCTCCAGGTCAGTCGTGGCCAGCAAGCTTTCGACCGTACTGTTCAAACCTCCCCAGTCGCTCATAACCAACCGATCATACTGCAGCTCCTTTCTCAGCAGGCGCGGCAGGATTTGAGGACTGAGATCGGCATGTAGCCCGTTGATCTTGGGGTAGCTGACCATGGCCGTCCACGGCGCTGCTTCCGTTTCCTGCACAGCCATGGCGAATGGCTTCATGTAGACCTCTCGCAGGGTACGCTCATCAATCGTTTGGTCGACATTGAACCGCCGAGTCTCGGTATCGTTCAGGATAAAATGTTTCATGCAGGCCCCGACCCCCTGGCTCTGAATGCCGCGGATCATTGCAATGGCCATCACCCCGACCAGATAGGGGTCTTCCCCATAGCCTTCGAAATTCCGCCCGCCCAAGGGCGAGCGCGACAGGTTCATGGTCGGGGCCAGCAGGACCTGGCAGCCCTTGCGTCGGGTCTCCTGCCCCAGAACGGTCCCGACTTTCTCCACCAGGGCCGGATCAAAGGTGGCGGCCAGCGACACCCCGCACGGAATCCAGGTGGTCAGGGAGCCGTACGTCCATTTGGACCCGCGGGCTCCGGCCGGGCCGTCGGTCATCTTCAGACTGGGGATGTGTAGCCGGTCGATGTTGGCGGTTTCCCACATGTTCTTGCCCGCAAGCAGGGCGACTTTCTCCTCCAGTGTGAGAGACTGGAGGAGCTGGTTGACAGCTGACGAGGGGATATTGGAATACATTCTTGGCGGACAGGGAGAGAAGAAGTTTAGTTTGGCAGGTTGACCATCCACGCACAGGGGAGTGGTGGTTTTTGAGGTGGTTTGTGTGCAGGCAGATGGTCCACGCATCCCTGCCATTTTTGGCAGCGTTAGCATTATACATGCGGTACAGACATGAATTACCCTATTTAGACGTCAAAGTCTGCTGTTTCCTGGCCATCGCAGTGGCCCCATTCCTCGCGTGAGCCTCTTCCAGACCCCTCTTGTGTCGGCGATATAGTGGGGGGGGGGATTTCGCCGACTTAGTGGAGAAGACCCACTCAAGCCCTCATCCATCAACCAAGTGGGTCTCCCACATCGCGTGGGCATTGCTGCAATGACCGGGGGGTCCGCATCTCCAGTGACTAACTAGTGTGGGGAAGTAGAACACGGGGTCCTGGCTCGTCATTATTCTCTGGAGACAAATTCTCTCTCTCACTGTGTCTCTCTCTCTCTCTCTCTCTCACTATTGGTAAGGCTTGATTCAGTCTAGTAATCCTTCACGGCCACGTTCACTGTTAAGCAGACGCCACCGGCTCGAAGCAGACATACACACGAAGGATTCCGACCTTCGCCAAGCAGGTGCGAATCCTTTCCCCATGAATCCGAGTAGCGATTGGATGGCACCATGACTGATAGACCTCTGTAGAATCATGCTCAAGGCATTATCATGGAACGGTTGCTGGCTCTCTCGTTGTTCCACGTATTTAGATAAAAGGCGGCGAAAGGTCCTTAGCAAAGAGGAAGAATCCGACAGGTCTGCAACCGCAAGCAAAACGTGGCTGCAGTGCTCTTCTCGCATCTTTACTTCCTCTCTTGCAGTTTCCTTCCACCAATGGCGGCGCCTGATAGCATACGGAGTCTCCCATGGCTCATCTGGGCTGTAGCGATCTTCGGGTCCCTCTCCTCCGCAGGGTTCGGGTTCGACCAAGCCTGGTGGGCGAGTATCATGAGCTCCCAGCAGTTTGCCCGTCGATTCGGACACTACAGCCACCCTCAAGAGATCTGGGTGCTGAGCGACCGGCAGCAATCGCTGGGCACCGGACTGGGCTATGCCGGGGTCATCCTGGGGCTTCTGTGCGCCACCCCGTTGAACGAACGGTTCGGCCGCAAGAATAGCCTGTGGATCCAGTCGGCCGTGGTGAGCGTGGGCGTGATCATCGAGTCCACCTGCCAGACGAGCTATGCTCAGTTCCTCGTGGGCAAAGCCGTCGTCTACTTCGGCGGCGGCATCGCCTCCAACGTGATCCCGGTCTACCAGGGCGAGTGCGCGCCCCAGGCCCTCCGTGGGGTGATGGCAGGCACGTACAACGTCTTCCTGATGGTCGGCGGACTGGTGGCGGCCCTCATCGTCTACCTCTGTCGCCACATCCCCAGTGACTGGGCCTGGCGCGGAGTCGTGGTGGCGCAGATCGCCATCCCGCTGCTGAACTGGATCAGTCTGCCCCTTCTTCCCGAGTCACCGTACTGGCTGATGCACCGCGGACGCCTCGACGAAGCCGGGGCCAGTCTGGCTCGACTGCGCGGCATTCCCCTCGCGGACGCCCAGGTCGAGGTCGCTCGCCTCTCACAGCAACAACAACAACAACAGCAATCGCAAAAGCCACAGCATAATCAAGCGCAGCATCCCGACGAGTCCTCCTCCTGGGCTGTCTGCTTCAGCAACCCCATCTACCGCCGCCGCACCGCCATCTGTGTCGGGGCGCAAGTCTTCCAACAGGCGCAAGGCATCTCCTTCGTCGCCAACTACCAGGCCGTCTTCCTGCAACAGATCGGCTTCCGCCAGGTCCTCCTGATGTCCGTGGTGGTGTATGTCATCGGGATCGCCGGCAACCTCACCGGCGTGGCCGTCACCGACCGTCTGGGCCGGCGGCTCGTGCTGCTGGTCTCCGCCGCCCTGCTGGCCGCATGTATGCTCACCATCGGCGGGCTGACGTGCACGCCGACCGACAGCTACGGGAGACAGGTCGGCGCGGTGGTCATGCTCATGCTGTGGTTCTTCACCTTCCAGAGCACCTGGGGCCCGTTGGCGTGGGTGATCACGGCCGAAGTGCCCCCGGCCGCCGCGGTGCGGGAGAAGATGGTCACCCTGGCGGGGTTTGCGGCGTACGGCACGGGGCTGGTGATTGTGTTTGTGAACCCGTATACGCAGGCGGCGATCGGCGGCAGCGTGGCGTTTATCTATGGAGGATTGTCGGTGGTGGCGACGGTGTTCGTGTGGTTGGTGGTGCCGGAGCTCAAGCAGCGGTCGCTGGAGGAGATTGATGAGATGTTCGCCGAGCGGGTGTCGGCCAGAGCCTTTGGGAGGTATCAGTGTCAGAGCATGTTGTCCAGGAGGGACGTTGAAGGGAAGACAGGATCTTGGCAGGAAGAGTGTGTTGAGAAGTTGTGATGGGGTTTGTACGTAAAGCTTAGATTTATGAAGATGATGAAGAAGAAGGATAAGACAATATGATCAAGACTAGATTTCTACCCAATCAGACATATTGTACTATACCTGTTGGGTGGTGAGTCTATATCCACGATGCTGTATGTACTGTGTAGTACATGTAGGCCTATCTATAAGCACCACTACTGCCCAGATGATACGAAGGGGCTGATTTTCACAGTCATGCATACTTTCTGTGTCTTCCTCGTTTAAATATATGCTCTATTACTCTCAAGCCCTTGGCTACAGGAGTCTATCCGACCTACCCCATGCCATTAAGTGCATCTCTGACAGTCTCACGAAGAATAAGCACTATGCTTCCGGATCCGACCTCCCCACTTGAAGAACAGCCACGGGAGGGGCGCAAAGCACACAGCCAAGAACCCCAATAAGCTAGACGCCCAGCTATAACCTAGATTGTGGTACACTGAGAACGTCGAATTAGACCTGAAGGTGAACCGGGAAGAGCTAGCTCAGAAGAACATACTGGCGAGAGTGAAAAGAGGGAACGAGCCGCCGATGCCGTACCGCAGCAGGCCATTGGCGGCCAACGCGGATGCTCCGAACTGCGCCCCATAGACACGCGTTAGATACAGGGCGGTCGACACCTATGATGATGCGGTCAATATGAGAGATACGGCAGAGTGAGGAAGGGTTGCGCACGAAGATCATAATGTTGGAGCACCCAAAGAGCCCAATGGCGACGATACTGCTCATCCAGTGCACATGGGGAGTCGATGTCCATGCAAACCAGAACAGTGCCGCCGGCATCCACGGGCTAGCCAACATCGCCGCCCATAGGACGCGTTCCGGTGGCGCGGGGGTGCCCTCTGGGTGTCGTCGACGGTGCAGAGCCATCGTGTACTGGTCTGCCGCCAGAAGCCCCAGACAGCCCAGGGCGCACCCCAGCGCCAGGGCAATGAAGACCAAGCCGCACTGACCCGGCGTGAAGCCGTAGACATTGGTATACACGAGAGGTACACAGGCGAGGAAGCAGAAGAGGACGGAGAAGTTGAGCGAGGAATAGAGCGAGCAGAGAGCCACGATGGGCTCGGTCAGGAGCATGTAGACCGGTCGTGCTAGGGTGACGGTGAGCATCATCCTGACGCCAGCCAGACCCCCGGGGATTGGACTCGGAGGAACGGGCAGTCCCAGCTTGACGGCGCGACGGTGGAGGATCGGGCGAGCGTAGGACTCCTGCGCCCCTGCACTGAACGCCCAGCAGGCGGCCCCCAGAAACAGCGTCGTCCACTGCGACCAGCGCCAGCTCTTGTACTCGGCCACCCAGCCCCCGACCAGAGATCCGATGGCAGGGCCCATGAAGGCGATGGTCATGAGGATCGTCACGCCACGGCCGGTCGCTGGCCCGCTCCACATGTCCATGATTGTGCCCGCTCCGACAGCCAGCGGAGCCGAGATGAACATCCCCGCCAGCAAGCGGCACACGGTGAGACTTGCCAGGTTGTCCGAAAACCCGGCCCCGAGAATGAACAGCATTGCTAGCGGGGTCATAACGAGGTAGATAAACCGCCGGCCATAGGTCTCGCTGAGAGGGGCGGCGATCATGGGTCCAAAGGCCAATCCGTACACGTACATGGTGAAAGGTAGAAGCGATTTGGTGGAGGAGGTGTGAAATGCGGCTTGAACATGACCGTGAGAGGGCGAGTAGATGGCAAGTCCGAATGATCTATACAATTTCAGGTACCTGACGTTAGCTTTGACACATACCCAGTTCGCATTGCTTGTGTACTCACATCAGAAGACACAGTACTGAAGGGATCGCTGTGTTGTAGAGTTTCTTATGTGTAGCCCAGTTCTGCGCGTTGGCTGGGTCTTCCGCCCATTCTGGAAGTTCTGGTGAGGTGATAGACACCGTCTTGGGCTCGTTACTGTCTAAGCTGTCTGACTCCATCGTTGTTTTTGGCCGACTCGTCTGTGCATGTTAGTCCTTGGTATGAAGGATCATGCATTTATAAAAGCTCGGGAGGAGTAACCATGAGTGCTATAGAACAAACGGATAATCGGATGTGGTGAAGTGGGCAAAGGCCGGCGGCCCCACTATTTCGGCGAAATCCTCCTTGATCGGTCGGACCCCTGGATTACAGTGGATTTGGACGACGGCGTGGAGGGCTTTCTATGCTCACATTGATAGGGAGCAAGCCTGATCCTCTGCGTCTCGAGCAGAATTATTCCTTCCGGTTTGAAAGGTTGTTGGTCTTATCTAAAAGAAAAGAAAAAGAAAATACAGTTTTCCCTCCGTTAGCCCGTTCCCAATGCAGTTTTACTAGATAGTCCAGTCGATTTTGACCAACTGAACACGGCCTGATTTGCTTTGCTGTAATATTGATATGTTTCTATTATTGATATTCGCTGAAACAAGAACCAAACTGTATTTGCATACTAAGAACCCTATTGAAGACTTTTGACATCTGTGAATTCACCGTCATGTATCATTCGCGGACAAATCAGGATGCAGCGCCATCCAGATCGTAACCCGCACACCCTATGACACTGCAAGCGAGCTGCCCTTCTATAAAGTACTAAGGCATCCTGAATGCATACATCTACACTAAGCAAGTACTTTACTACCAGAACATCGCGCAAAATTCCAGCCAAGGACCAAGAACTACCTTGACTGCTCCTGCGCCATCGCCTCCCGCTTCTCCCGCAGCACCTTCTGCACCTCCTCCCTCGCCTTCATCCGGCCCATCCACGCCCTCACATTGGGATACTGCTCCTCCAGCTCCCGAACAACGCCCTCATCCCGCACCATGAGCGGCACCAACTCCTGCCACGGCACGAAGCACAGATCCACAAACGTGCACTTCTCCCCGACCAGCCACTCTTTGCCCTGCAGCGCGCAGTCCAGCACCCCCATCACCCGCCGGATCTCCGCCGTATACCGCTTGATCGCAAGCGGCACCCGCTCGGGCTGCCGCTGGAACCATCCCAGCTGCCCGTAGTAGGGCCCCTGCCCGGAGACCTGGAAGTGCAGCCACTGCTGGAGGTGATGGCGCTCCGGGAGAGTCTCGTAGCTGAGCTGGTGGCTCGAGTCGTAGGTTTCGATCAGGTAATTCACAATCGCGCCGGACTCCCACAGCGTAAGGTTGTTCTGGTTGGGGTCGATGATGGTCGGGAGACGGCCGTTCAGGCAGAGATCCACGTAGGGGGACTTCTTGACGTCGGCGAAGTCGACCATCACCGTCTCGTAGGGGAGGTGGAGGGCCGAGAGGATGAGGGCGACCTTCCACGGGTTGGGCCCGATGGGGTGCGAGTAGAGGGTGATCGGTTGCATGGTTGTTGGGGGTGTACCGATGTACTATACCGTCGAAGAGAGAACTGGGTTGCGATGGTGGAATTTGTTCCGGAATCCTTCTTGTGAACTACCTAGTATCCTACAGGGGGTAGTTATATAGGGTCGGGCCGGATGAGGGGTCCGGCCAGGTTGAGTGGATTGCATTCGCCGAAATCTCGGTTCATTCGCCGAGCATGCTGTAAGCGAGTCCTCGGATGGCAGCATTCACAAAGGATGGGGTCAGATTTGGTTGAGGGTGAAGAAGCGGATGGATAGGATGGATCAGAGCCATGGGCTCCCTGGGACTGCAACGGGAATTCGCCCATTGCAGTATAGTGTTCGGCGACGTGGTAGGCCGATCATAAATGCACGCGAGGAGCTGGCATTGGTGAGCCCGCATGGTAGTCTGTTTCCACTACATAGTAGCGGCCAGGAAACTTGTTTGGCTAGTACAGCCTGTGACAGCGCTTGAGACACCGAAACCTCCCCAGGATGCCTGAGAGTATTTCTCATAGTAGAGGAACGTATTAAAGCAAGCCTTCTGCTTGTCATTGATGCGACCCCACCCGAGCCGGTGGCAATGTGTGTTGTGGTCAAGGAGGCCTCCGGACACCGCGATTTAGAACCGCCAAGACAGCATCATGAACCGGGGGTCAGAACAGAGCGCATTTTTATTTAAGCAAATAGGATCATCAACAACACCAAAAGATAAACCAGCACATACGACCACAGGGTGTGGAAAACAGGGCTTCCCGTCCGCTCAGCCGTACTTAATCCACACGCCGGGAGGTTAGTAGTTGGGTGGGTGACCACCAGCGAATCCCTTCTGTTGTATGTTTTTGCCTTTTTTCCCACCCGTCCTATGCTTATTCTTATTCTCTCTCACTTACCTGCTCCCAAGTAGGCCCTCTCGACTAGGATCCATATTTTTATTTTGCCTGTATTATTGCACGATGTGTATGTGCCTCCTCCGCCGTATCGGGGCTGAGTACATTCCTACCCATCAATTGGCCGCTCGCCTGTTCACTCCCGAGGTATATTCCACGGCTCGCTGGTTGCAGTGTAATCTCCCGCAGACGATTCAAGATCAGAAATTCGATCTTGAGCTTGATGCCATAGACACACGGCTTCAGCGCGCCCTGCAAGTAGAACATCCTGGCGCACTGGATGCCGAAAAATGTGAAGTCCAGCACGATGATCAGGACATTAGCGTAGACCAGCTGCCATAGCACATTAGTTTGCCCCTTCAAGCTTGGACGGTCAGGCTCGACGCCGTGGAGGAGGGCAGATGCCGATCGTGGGGCATAGGGTGAATAGGGACGTTCACGCAGCGGGGCGCGGCCGCGCTGGAATGTTCGTGTCTGTAAGATGTATAGCGTGCTGAGGGCGGTTTCTTGGATGAGGAAGGCGGCCAGCTGCACGCGGTCCCAGATGAGGTTGGCGGAGGAGAGGGCAGGATTGATATTTGTGGCTTGCTATGGAGAGATATTGTGAGTGACCTATTTAACCTGCCTATTGCTCTGTCTTCTTTGGTAGAGTCGAGGACCCTTACCGCCATAATCCCGATCACGATAGTCGGTATCGAGAACACCACCGAGTTGGCGATGAGGATAAACTTTATCGTCCTCAAAACCTTTGCATTGCGTAACAGTAGATGGAGTCGCGAGTATAAGACCCAACTTTGCGGAACGACCATGATCAGCCATGTGAGGTAGATCATAGTGATGGAGGGGACGGGGTCCGTCCAGACATGGAAGTCGGCGAGGATGATAAAGAGAGGTTGGAGGACGATCGCCCACGAGACGAGTGCGCAGGACCAGAAATATAGTCCGCGGCGTCGCTTGAAGGTCAAGAACAGGGACGCATTCACCTCCAGCCCTAGCCACCAGGAGATTCCGATGAAGGCGGCCATTGTCATGGACATGCGCAGGTCCTGCCTGATGTCGTTTATGCTGGGAGACCGGTGAGTTACGATCTCCGCCCGTCCTGGCTGTTTCAAATGATTGTTACTTGAGTTATGATTTTGAGGATCGGCGTGCTTGCTTGGGGCCGCAGGTACCGTTGGAGTAAACGGAGTAACTATATGGTACAGAAGAATGACTCGGCATTTCTAATAGTAATTGTTTGCTATATTGAAGAAGTATGTGGTGTAACCAGGTCAAGCCCATCATTGCCGTACATCAGGTGTTTGCTTCTACTCAAATTGTATCGCACCCAAGGCAACTAAGCGGCTGGAAGAGGATGCTGGATCCCAACCATCAGCTACACATCTACTACGAGATGAGTCATATGGAGATAGAAAACAGGTGATTATTCCGTAAGCGCATTTGATACAAGCCCTGGGCCAGGAACAAAGATCAGTACTCAGCTGGATGCCTTGCCCCTTTTCCTATCCCGGTGGCACCGGCATCCCTGCGAGCACTTGAGGTCCGGCGCATTTGAAATTGGCGAGTAAGCGATTTCCTTGACGGGAAGGAGACAAAGCTCGGCGCTCCAAGCTACAAGAAATTGCAAGGATTATGATGGTCGTGACTGAGGAATAGTCAGGCGCGGCAGAGTCATGGCCCAGCGATCAGCGTTCTTTCTTTGTTCGCGATATACATAGAATTAGCATTAAGGGCTACCACAACAAACTTGTATACCCCTTTCCAACATTCGCATAAATCTCAAAGCTGGCCAGCTTGCGACCTGCCATATTATCTGACATTATCACATGCTGCTCAAAAGATAACCCTTAAAATCAGCTATCCAAAGACAACCCCACAGAACCAAAATCCGAAGCAAAGCAACTCCCAGAGCAAATGACGCTGGCAACCACCACCTACACCGTGCAGCAAGTCATCTCCGCCCTGAACCTCACCCCCCATCCCGAGAAGGGCTACTACATCGAGACGTTCCGTGACCCGAACACCACCCCCGAGGGCCGCGCCGCCAGCACCTACATCTACTACCTCCTCGAGGGCGAGTCCGGCCTCTCACACTGGCACCGCGTGCTCGACGCCGTCGAAGTCTGGTACTACTATGCCGGCGCTCCACTGCAGCTGTCGCTGGCTTGGGACGATGGTACAGCCGTGCGCAACCTTGTCCTAGGCCCGGATGTCTGGACCGACCAGCGACCGCAGATTGTGATTGAACGCGGAGAGTGGCAGCATGCGCTGTCCTTGGGAGACTGGACGCTGGTGGGGTACTCTGTTGCGCCGGGGTTTGAATTCGGGGGCTTTGAGATGGCGGAGCCGGGGTGGGAGCCAAAGGGGCTGGGGAGCGGGGAAGAGCCAAAGGGGGAGAGGGAGGAGGGGATCAAAGGCTGAATGGGTTGTTGTTTCATTCTTCGGATGTTGGCGAAAGAAGACCATGTTTCAATTCGCTAATTGCTCCGAAGGCGGGATGAGGAAGTTGACTTAGGGTGGTATCCCTGAACTCTAGAATCGGATTCTCGAGGCGTCTGCATCGGGCATGGGGGATCCACCACGCGAGCTAGCAGAAAGAAGGTCCTTACTAGCCAACGCTAGCTCAGCCCTAAGAGGCTCCTCAATACTTTTACACACTTATTCTTTCCTGGATACCTCACTCTGGGGACCGCTGTCATATACATACTTATCTCGATGAGTACGTACATAACAATTTGGGGTCGCGTTAATCCAGCCCCGTGGATACAAACAAGTGAGGACACCACCTTGTCTGGTACAGTACAAGGGCGTTACAGCCGAGTTGCAAGAAGTCGCGAAGAAGAAATCCGGGTGAAAGTGGAAGAAATATTCTCTGTGTCGCCCACCGCAAGAAGACAAGATACCGTACTGTACAGATCAACCTATCAATGTGGTTGTGCCAGCAAATTCAGGCAATCATATGCGCGAGACATATCAGGATTGATTGGAGAAGTCCGGAGCGGGCAACTTATGTGGGGAGCCTGAAGCTGGCACCCATGGTTCAAGTCGGAAGGCAAAAGATTTTCCGCTGGGTCATCCGAGCCTTGGATGGTTAATTCCTTCTTAGTTATCGGGAACACCTCGAAGTGAGAGATTGCTTTACAGTACATCTGAGTTGACACAGATTATGCTCCGAGGATCAGGCAAACCCGAGAAAGCTATGTGGCGGCGGCGGCAGACTGCAGTGAAGGCTTCAATCACACACCTACGGATCCTCGGTAAAACAAGCCGTATCGGGTGCTCATTAGGGTTAACCACGAGTTAGTTAAGCAGAAGAATTCTGACGATCACTAGGTACCGACTAGTACCTAGCGGTCTGCAAACCCAGATCCGCAGATTGGACAGGTGTACTCCGTACTGGAGCTCGGTGGAGTTGCAATTGATACCATTGGCCAATCAGCAACACAAGTCACCTCATCGAAGTGCTCTCCGATCTCCCGATCTTCTTCTCTTGACCCACACTTCAGCTGGCACAGCCTGTTGTTTTCCAGGTGAGTGCGGAGAGAGGTAGTATAAATAGCCTGCAGAATCCCACTCCCTCTTCCACCCCAAAGCTTGTTGAGCCTCCTCCCAAGATCACCCAACACTCAAAACCAAAACCCTAACCAAAAATCTTTCTTGCCGTGCAGATAAAATGGCTCCGTGTTCGTCGTTGCGTAGTATCCCACGAACTGCGTACGAGAAGAAACAATGCTAAAGAAGCGTATAACCATCTAGGAATGCCAAAATGGCTACTGGACCTGTACCTGCCATGGTGGCAAATGGACCTGCCATGTCTGTAATGGCTCCGGGCGAATTGACAACCCCAACGCAGGGGAGGAAGCCGGTTCCGTCCGTGGCCGCGCGGCTACAGCTTACTGGTCAGACAAGTGCGGCATTTGTGGTGGCAACGGTCAGAAGGTAAGGACACTGGCTAGCCGCCTCCTGCTTTTTCTTGGGATGCGATGATCTGGCACGGGGCTGACCAGTCAATGTGATCAGTACTGCCACACGTGCCTTGGCACGCACCGCAAGAAGTGTAATACATGCCATGGAACGGGCAGGGAGCCGGAAGAGTAAAAACCCCACTGGCTGCTACCTTTATTCCAGTCGTGTGGGATCAAAATCATTGGAAGAAGAATTGCTGATCTATACTGCACGCGCGGAGCATATTTTATAAGTGAGCCAGCCCACCTCTTCGGAGCTGGAGATGCATCCGTAGGATATCAACAGAGAGATGGTGCTATCGCTCACACTGAAAACCCATGGCGTCGGGGCAGAAGAGGTGCGGGGCGTAGAGGTTTGTGGGGGAGTGGTATGCTGCTTGTTGGTGGAGGATGACTGCTGTCTATCTTCAGGGGTTGGGGCTGTTAATGTTTGTTGGGTCAGGAAAATTATAAAAGAAGCAAGGTTGAAGATACAAATTAAGGACGACAAGGCATACCCGGGCCCTTGGTACAATGTGATGTCCAGCGATTTGGGTATGTTCTGCCAATGTCATGCGCTGCAGACTTCCCGGGCCGTACCAGGACAACATTCAAAACATCGCGGAACGGCATTCTGCGCCGCATCCGAGGAGCGCATGAGCGGCATGTCTTCTTCCGAGAATCCCGTTGGCGGGCGCGGCGTCGGAGTTGACCTTCCTAATCGGGACGCATGAGCCCTGAGCTGAGCCGGGTACTGTGCTTCTATACTACTACCTACTCTCCTATTCTCCTAGAGGCCAACTGAAACCCTTCTCTTCTTGAAGTCCACTATATATTCGAAGAAAGTACACAGCTGCCATTCGAACCACGAAGCTTCATTTTCCCTCTCTCAGGGCCTCGGTTTGAACACAGGTTTGATCCCATTGCAGTCTCTCAAAAGGTCTTCTTAATACAAGATGGCATCAGAAAATAGAACCACACGGCGCATCATTCTGGGGTTGATGACCCTAGGCCCAGACACCACCCACGGTGCTCGCATCACGAGTCTGGAGGAATTCAACCGGTGCCTGGACCATTTTCAAAAGAAAGGCTACGATGAGGTGGACACTGCTCGACTTTATGATGGTGGTCGGCAGGAAGCATTCACCCGCCAGGCAGGTTGGAAGGAGCGAGGTCTGTCGATGGCAACCAAGTAGGCCCCACTCACAGTAGGCGCCCACCGCGCAGAGGTTCTGGAGGAGAAGCTGAACGAGTCCCTACGCGAGCTGGGGACGGACCAGGTGGACATCTTCTATCTTCATGCGGCGGATCGCACCAACCCTTTTGCCGAGACATTCGAAACACTCGCCAGACTCTACCGACAGGGCAAGTTCAAGCAGCTGGGACTAAGCAACTTCTCCGCTTTTGAGGTTGCCGAAGTCGTAACTCTGTGCAATGAACGCGGCTGGGTGCGACCCACGATCTACCAGGCAATCTACAATGCGCTAAGTGAGAATGACCCCTCATATTCATGGAAGCCAAGAGAAGTGCTGATTGTTTTATCGAAAATTAGCGCGTGGAATTGAGGATGAGCTCATTCCCTGCTGCCGCCGCTGGGGCATCGACGTGGTCGTGTTCAAACCCCTGGCAGGTGGGTTCTTTTCAGGCAGATATAAGACAACTGAGCAGCCCGCAGACGGAAGATTTAGTAATAGAAACCCGATTCAAGGCAAGATGTATCGGGATCGGTATTTCAAATCCAGCATCTTCCGTTCTTTGGAGACACTGGAGCCGGTAGTTCAGAAGCACGGACTGTCAATGGTGGAGGTGGCCCTTCGCTGGTGTGTTCATCACTCGGCCTTGAGCATAACTAATGGTCGTGATGGCATCATCACGGGATTTAGTAGCTTTGAGCAGCTCGAGAGCAACCTGAATGATTTGGCCAAGGGCCCTCTGCCGACCGAGGTGGTTGATGCTTTGGACCAAGCTTGGTCTATTGCCAAGGTTGATGCAAGCAAGTTCTGGCATGGGGAGCCGGTGTACGGCTATGAGACTCCGCGCGCGCTGTTGAAGGAGCGTAGCTGACGGGTTATGCGGAGCATATGACTTGCGTGGAAGGTGACAGGAGTACACGTTGCTAGGAAGTCTAGGTAGCTTCAGCCATCACACGGTTTCTTCAGAGAGTTAAGGCTGAAGTCAGGCATGAAAAACACGTTCCCCTTGCCAATGGATTCCCCATAGAACCAGTTCAAACGAAGAATAGCACTCCTTGAATCAAAGTAGGTTGCACGTCTCATATGTCGAAAGTGTAGGCTTAAGTTCAGAAATGGTGTGAGTCTGGCTGAACTAGTACGCCGTGGTAAAATATCGTTACTCTGCCCCCGCAGGAGTCACGTAAAACACACCATGGCTGAAGAGCAATAATCGAAGAGATTTGTTAAAGGCTCTCCCTCATTCTATCCGCCGACTCCTACTATTCCTTCTACGTTGGTCCATGATTCGTAGAGTGCTCCACGCCGAGGAAATGCGAAAGCAAGTCTTCCACTGCCTTTATAATACTTACTTTGTTTTAGGAAGCTTGGGCAAAGTACAAGGTAGCCGGCGTTTAGTCTGCTGGCAAACAACCTGCTTACCGGTCTGCTTGCTGCGGTATGTATAATCTCCTCGTTCATGTACCAATTTTGTGGAAATGGTATGTAAATACAGGTTGTGGAGGATATGACGTAAGGAAGCCAGTAAAGACCCCTCACAGAATTATGAAGCCACCACTGCCCTTGCCTCTTAAGGAGGAGCGGTAAGGGAGGATACAGAGAAGAGACCCATTTTATAAGCAGGTTTATACTCTTGTTGGCCGATTTGGTCCACGGGTCTACAGTCCCGGGTCAGGAGTCACAGGCTGGGCTCTGGGCTCGAGGCTCCCGTGCTTCCGGGCCCCGGAGCGGACCTGCCTATTACGGAGATAGCTTGTCGAGTCACATGACCTTGGTTCTTTTCCGTCCCTATCCTCTTCTGGAGAAGTCCGTTCCGCAATGATCCTGATCCATCACCCGCCACAAGACAGTTGTGGTGTGTCAATTGCAAAGGTATATTTAGTGAGGGCAAAGTAAGTATGCCACCAATAGTATCCCGGCCGTTGCGCCGGAACGGCAAGTTACAGGCGTGTGAGGCATGCCATAAACTTAAGATCAAATGCGACCATTCGCTACCGAGCTGTGTCCGCTGCACCGAAAAACAAATACGCTGTATCTATGCTTCTGCGCACACAACAAGAGGGGTTTGACCTGTCACCTTCTGTGACCGGCCCCGTGGCAGTCCGGTGATAGAAAATGCAGTGACAGAGACTCCAACCTCTCAGGAGCCCTCAGTATCAGCCGATCCAGTGTCATCGATCGCTGGAGGTCCTTTCTACCCTGCTTGTCCTGAATGAGGAGCGAGATAGGGTAAGAGGAGTGACTACAGATTTAGCTCCAATTGTACGTGCAGTCCGATGGTTTCTACCCCGCACCACTGATGAAGAAGCTTAGTTTCTCCCCTATGGACTTTCAAGTGCTGGAACCCTCCTATTTGACACGCTTCATCATGACCCTTGTGCCCTGAGAGACAGGGAGACCTATCCGGGCCTCTCATATGCAAAAACAATCCGCAATCTCACCATCTACGTCTCCTGTCTGTCATGGGTGGCTCCGCGAAGCACCAGGAACTCTAACTGCTGCAAGAAAGCTCAGGCTCGGCTCGAGCAGCTGTTGGACCGGATCCTTGATCCCATCAGCACGGTCGGTGATGTGGCGCCGGGAAACGCAGCTCTCGGCATTACCAGTGTTTCCCTTCCGGACTTAGCGGACTATGGCCCACATATGCTGAGTTGGGATCTTTCAGGGATGGAATGGGGCTATGCTCCGTTTGTTTAGCAGGATAATTCTAACTCCTCATCCCGCATGTCTCTCATTCAGCATCTGATATACGACTTGTTGGAAGAGCTGACACCCGCCAACAACTCCCTCATGTCTTCGACTGATCTACCCTAACAATTTCCTCAAGGAGTGGCAGCGCCATCTCCATCCCCGCGCCCTGGAAAATCTTCCGAAAGCGTCGAATGATCCACTTGCGGGCCGGCTCTGCGGTGGCAGGTGATTTTCCAACCATGTAGAGACACCAAATCAGAATGTATGCACCCGACACGCTGGCTCTCGGGCTGAGATCCCCTGCGTAGGGCTGAGATGGATCCGCAGGCGGGGCCACGATCCCCAGCGCCTGCGGTACGGTGGCCAGGATATCCTCGCCAACGCGGGAGAGGATTCCGAGGGTGTCGTGCAGTTGCCGACGGCGCAAGCGGACTTGTGCAACTGGAGCGGCGGGGCTCAGCGTGAGCATCTTCTTCAAAAGGTAGCATATAATCTCGCAGACGATCATTTGGATGCTGCGCGCATTGTTCCAGGCTCGAATTGCCCACGGGGTGAGGTAGATGTCGACGCGACCGTTGTAAATAGTGTCGGGATCACTGCCTACCCATCCCGCTTCCTCCGCGGTGGTGGTATAGAAAGGCTCTTGGACGGCGAGGGTCGCCATCGCGATTTCAAAGTCCCGCCCCACTGCCAGCGCGGCGCTTAAAAGATCGGGGAACTGAGTTGTGCCCGTGGTCTCCATCACCTGCCATAACAGGTCCACACACCGGGTGGCCAGCACCCCTATCTCCCAGACAGCGTTGGGGGCGCCCACGTGCTTGGCGGCCTCGTCCTGGAGAGCACGCATATCCGCCGGGAACGGTCGGTTGGTGCGGGTGCAGGCGGCTATAATGTCGGTGCGGACCTGCGTGAAGAGGAGCAGGGCGGTCGGATTGCCGCCGGCGAATTGGCCCTTGCCGCGGAGGACGGTCAGCGCGGCCGCCCCCTGCACGTGACGCACCCACGCGTCAAAGCCCGAGAAGTGCTCGAAAACACCCAGGGAGATGACGGCCATCAGTGTGCTGTCCTTGACCGACTCGACGGGCGATGCCAGGGCAGCGTTGACGCTCCGGATGGCCTCCGCGTACTTGATGCGCGCTTGGCGCACCAGCTCCGGCTGGTGGTGGGAGTTCGCTAATGTCACCAGGCCGACGGCGGCCAGGCTTGCGACCAGGGTCGGCTGGTCGTCATTGGCGCCCAGAGTAGCTGGGATGTAGTTGAGGTATCCACGCGAGGGGCTGTGGTCGCCGGTGACAAAATGGTGCAGGAAGGCATTGACGCCCACCTGGTCCATGCTCGGACACAGTGAGGGCAGGGGGGGTGGGGGCGACAGGGGGCTGTGTGTTATCGCGGTCGAGGCTGCCTGACACTGCGATCGCTGGATGGTTTGGTTGGTCTGATCGCGGAAGACAAGGTCCCATTGATCTCGATAACCGGGACATTCTTCCCGCAGTCGAATACATTGCCCGCAATGGGGGCGCTGTTTGTCGCACTGTTCGGGGATGGGTAGTCAGCGCCCCTGAACCACGGAAAGACCGAATAGAATATTACGCACACGTCGTTTGACGGCTCGGCAGTTGCCACAACTTTTGGAGACTCGGGGACCAGACATCTTGTGCGGAAATTAAAACTGAATCTGTGTGAATTCTCGAATCCTTCAGCACAAGCAAGTGCTTGGGTCCGAAATCCAAGGCTGCGGGAGGGGCATCGGTGGCATGCACAAGGTGAATTGGCAGGTGGTGTGGGGTGGAGGGAGACTAGAGAGGAGCAACCGAGATCGGCGGAGGCCACCAAGAGATTTCAGTTTCCTTGGTCGTTTTGTGGTTTGGAAAGCGGGCCGCGGGACCCACCGTTTTCCCGTCAGCACTAGTCCTCTTGCGGTAGGCGAGATGCTCTACCATTCATAGTTCGGCAACAACTTCAAAGTTTCAGGGCTGTGTTTGCCCAACAGATGAGCCTCAACAGCATTTCGAAACATAAATACTATCTCGCTTCTGCTCCTTCTTTTTCTCTGCTGCATCCCAGTGCAAAGCCTCTTGACTACTCGATAAACACCACTTTCCAGTTGCTGCTTCTGTTCCTTACCATCTACAATGGGCACCGTTACCTACCGCGACGGGATCGCTATCCTACAGCTCGTCGTCTTCCCATTCATTCTTGTGGCTGCCATCTTTATCTGGAAGCGTACGGGCTGGCGCATCGGCAGCAAAATCTGGCGGTTCGCAGTCACGCTCTCCCTCATCCGAATTGCCGGCAGCATCGCGTCGCTCTTGACCATCAGCCATGATTCCTACAACGTCGAGGTCGCCGTAGCGGTGTGCGAGCTGATCGGCATTGCTCCTCTGCTACTCACCTATGTTGGTCTGTTGAGGCAAATGTAAGTGCCAACGACGAATCGAATATGCCTACGACTGCATGTTCTGGGACGAGCTAACCACAATGAAACACCAGCGACACGCAACAAAGTCTCCCTCCCCGCTTCCTCAACATCGTGAGCCTCGTCTGCATCATTGGCCTGATTCTCGGCATTGCAGGCGTCAGCAGTGCAGATGACAACGGCAGCTACCACGTGAACAGCATCGTCAAGGCATCCATGGGCATCTTCCTCGCTATCTTTGTCCTCATCGTTGCGATCGGCGCGTGGCTCTTCGTGCGCCTTCGCCCCACCATGCGGGCTTTCCAGCGAAAGCTCTTTCTCGCCATCGCCTGCTCCTGTCCCCTGCTCATTGTTCGTCTGGTTTACTCGGCGATGGGGGACTACACGACCGACACCCGGTTCATGGTGCTGGTGGGCAGCCCCACCATCTATCTGTGCATGGACGTGCTGGAGGAGATTTTTGCCATGCTCATCACTATGGTTTTGGGGGTCTCGGCTGTGTTGGAGAAGGACTTTGTGCAGTTGAGTCCGACCGAGAGACCCGCGGTCGGAAAGATTGAAGTGGTCTAAGTGCTTGTGTTTCAGTTGAATAGAGGATTTGTTTCTCGTATCTGTGCGATGTGGTGTATCGGGAGTTGAGTATTTGTCAATCAGAATGGAATCTTTACTGAATTGCGACCTGCGTGGCAGAAGCGTAATATCTTACGTAGGGAAAATTGCTATTCACCGGTTTGGCCTTTCCTTCCAAGAATTCTAGTTGATGTCCACTTTATTTCTTGTCAAGTAGAGCCATTTTGATTTGGGATATCATGGTCTATGGGATAGTGCGTTTGTCTACTCTGAACGATCTTGTCATACAACAATACAATAACAAAGTGTGAGTTTGAGCCGCTTCCAGAGCTCCACTACGATGGAAGGGTAGATCATCTCAAGGCCCTACAGAAGGCTCCTTAGGAGATTGAGTAGCATTGAGGCTGTGCGCCAACGACGATCATTACCTTCGACATGTTCCGGAGGTGCTTGGTACTGGGGCAGCGTACCCACTGCGGGGGCTCAATTGGCTGTGGTTGGCTCGCCCGAGTTCTCCGCTTGTCATCCCGTCATGGAGGCTGGAGTAAGCCTTGAGACTAAGGCCCGAAAGGGTAATCGAGATGTTCAGCCAATCAACTGATGGAGCGAAGTTACTCATGTCAGCATGTAATACCGATCGGTGCGGCCTGGAGGTACCTTAGTACTAGCGCAATATCTACCTCGATGGAACCGAGATCCTCGAACAGTTGCCCAGCGACTGCACGATCTACACCGATGTTCTGGCGCTGAGCAAGGCTGGGGTCACAATTTCGGCGGGCAAGAATACAGCCCTGGAGATCTACGCGCGTGTTATCACAGCGGAGGCTCCAGTGACGCTGGACATGTGCCTCAAGGGCACCCAGGGCACTGGGATTGTTATCTGCGCTGCCGTGGTCGACCAGCCGATCAGTGTCTCCGTGGATGGCGGCCAACTCACCCCGCTGGCTCTCGGGGCCGACTCAGGCTACCAGGCCACGGAAATCAGCTTCGAAGATGGCATTCCGTCCGTCAGCTACCTGGACGATCTCGACGAATCTGACACCACGGACGTCTATCAGGCCTTCCTTGACACACAGCTGCGGGTGGCACTGGCGCTCTTCTGGGCGCAGCCCGCCATTGCCATCTCAATCTGCGCCTACGTCGCCCAGCTGACTTGCACCGGCACCGAGCACAGCCTGTTCAACGCGCAGGCCGTCTCTCTGGGCCAGCAGCTGGCCGGCCACACCCTTGCAGGACCCGACGCCAACTACGCGCCTACCCTCCCCTTCCAGACGTACCATGACACCATGGTGGACCAGCTGAGCGCTGCCAAGAACTTCGAGGAGCAGTACCAGCGCTTCCAGGACAAGGAAAGCGCGGTCGAGGACCAGAAGCAGGCGTGGGGGACTATGCTCCAGAACGCGCAGGATCAGCGCGCCGTGCGCCTCGCCGTGCAGACCTAGACACTGGCGAAATATCAGGACGCGTGCAATACGACGACAGAGTGTGCCAAGCACGTGGACGATGACAACGGTGAGCTGAGCGACAAGCAGAAGGCGTTTGAGGAAGGTCTGCAGGCATGGAAAAATGCCCAGGTCCTCAAGGCCGTGTTTGGGATTCTGACCTCGCTGTTTGGTGGGTAGCACTGTTTTTTTACTTTTTACCAGTCTTTCTTCTCCTTTCCGCCGTTCGTTCCACAGTGGTTTGTGATGCGCTCTCCCTTGCCTTTTAGAGTTCGCATTCGGAATCGCCTCGGTTTGCCTGGCAGCCAATCCGGCCCAGGACGTCAAAGAGGTCGAGGATTCAATCGATGTGGTGGAGGAGACGGAGGAGGGGGCCAAGGAAGTGGGCCAGATTGTCACCTCGAACACACTGAAGAATCTTGGACGTTTACTCAGGCCCTCGAGAAGGTATCCCCCCGGATCGAGTCGCTAGTCGATTCGGCGAAACAGCTCTCCAAGCTCCCGGACGGGGACGTGGTCGACATCCCCGGATCGGCCGACATTTCCGGGTCCGACGGCACGGATGCGGATTCCAGTCTGATCCAGAGCCTGGCGGCGTGGGACGACTGGCAGCTGGAGTGTGACCAGCAGATGGAGTGGGCAGCCGACGACCAGAAGATCGGCGGCGCCAGTGAGTATCGCCTGGCGCTACGCAAGCACGCAGTCCACGGGCGCGCGCTGGCCCAGGCGCAGGTGGAGGCGATCAAGCAGGGTCAGCAGTACGTGCAGGCGACACTCGAGCTCCTGCAATGTGACCAGGACAATTAGAACCTACAGGACCTGCTGGATGCCTACAATGGGGAGGAGGAGGTCTATGCCGCCGCCGCCGCCAAGTTCTATGACCGCTGGCTCCAGCTGCGCACGAGCCTGGCCATCCAGATGCAGTATATGACGGATGCCTATCGCTTCTATGCTCTGAAGGAGAGCAATGTTGTCGTCGACTCGCAGGGCTTGGTTGCTGACTTCCAGGAGGCCCTCGCGGAACTGCAGGGTGCGATGCAGGAGGTGGACGAGGAGTATGCGAACGGGTTTCAGGGTGATGATTTATTCCCTCTTTCGTTCTCTTTTGCGTGAGTTTTCGCTTGACACCCCGCTTCCACTACTGACTCACTGCTGTACCTCTCTAGGACTTAATTATACATCTTATAGCGACGAGGTGAGGTCCAAGACATTCACGCTCCCTCAGCCTTCCTCTCCACATTCCCTCTACGCCACCAACACATGCATATATTTGACTGACAAATGGGATAACTACTACCACCCAGCTCGCCTCCGACTTCGGACAGACCTTGATCGCGGGTTTGACTAGCAGCGAGCAGGGCAATTCGGGGACTTTTACCCTAGTCGTGACACCGGGCGCCGATCTACACGAGGGGGTTGACAATTTCGCCTACCCCTTCGTAGGATCCTCTCATTACCGACTCGATGGAATGGAGGTTATCCTGGCTAACGTCAAACCGGTCCCGGAGGCGGTTCACCACGGTAGCGCTGTGGTGAGTCTCAAGATCGAGACCTCCGGGACCTACACCGACCTCCAGGGCGACCAGGTCTTCTACTTCGTGAGACTCCCGCAAAAGGTCCGGTATTCCTATGAGATCGATGCGGACGGAAACTTTCTACAGGCCCGCGACTTTGTCGTATTCACCGCGGCCGATCACGCCCAGCCGAGCCCATTCACCCAGTGGACCATCACGGTCGAGTCGCCACAGGACCTCGATCTGAGTGCCTGCGACGGCCTGCAAATCAACTGGACAGGCCACTATCGCGCGTACACCTCGGCCCCGGTGGCAGAGAACTCCTCTCAGCGAAAGGATTAAATGATCACCGGAGCAGATCGATCAGCAGTGACAGTTTCGAGCACGGACGTTTCTTCATTCGTTTAGTTGTCTTTTCTTTTGGAAATCAAATAGGGGGAAAAAAGACCAAAAGTTAGGCAGAAGTTTTTTAGGTAACATCAAACGACCACAAAATACAAGTACCTTCGTTTCGCAACGGATCCCGGCACATCAGAGAACCTCCCCTTCTCGTTTGGTCTCTACTTCCTCTTCTCCACCCCGTCCCCATTCATATACGCATTCTTGAAATCAGTGACTGTCTCCCGCATCATAAGTCAGTAGCGACCCGAGCAAGCACTGAAGCAAACTTTGGCATTGAAGATTCTCAAGGACCCCAAGCAGGGGGAGGGCTCCGAGAAGAGCGAAAAGCACAGGTCCTTTGACTCACCGTCCTTCTGCAAAGTCGCCAAGTCCTCGAGCACTATCCTTTCCACTACTCCATCGAGGGGGTTATCGTCGGGATCGTCGTGCTTTTGGATATAATCCACCGGGATTTGGACGTCGTTCGCGATGAGCTGGGCACTTCTTGGTGGAACGCAAGCGGCGGTCTTATCTTAGCACCTCGCCCGTTCTACTGGGAGGGGGATCGCGGACGAAAAAGGAAAAACACACAACCAAGCCATTTTTGGGGGGTCTCGATCCTCGGACAACACACATCCAGAGATACACATACGCGCGCACATACATCGAAAGAGGGACCGGGGGTGGGGGGGGGGGGGGGAGGGGGCACACTTGGCTCACCGCACAACAGTTCTACCTGTTGTATCGACTCGCCCATATCATCCTCCAGGCTGAACCCATCGAGTAGATCCTGTTTCGCGCAACGTATTAATCTTCAATGCTCAATGTCCTTGCCTCAACACGCCTCAAAGGAAAGACAACAGCATCCGTAGACTTTTGAGAGAGTGAGGCGGAGGGGGAAATGCCAATCCTACCTTAACCCGGCCCAACGCGGCCAGATCCCCCTGCAGATCCTCCGGGAAATCCTCGGCTGTCAGTTGGTCCTGCAGCGTGGAGCCCTGGAATGGCAGAGCTAGCTGCTGCACGGTAGTCTGGCAGTCGGCCCCCTGCTGGGTGTAGGTGTTTAGATTGTCGCCCCAGCTGTTGGCCTGGTCGCAGAGAATCTGCACGGCGTTGAGCCGGTCGGTTGCCTCCTGCTGGACGCGGTCGCGGAGGTCGTCGTTGGTGGGGTCCTGCCGCATGGCTTCGAAGTCGGCGAAGATTTTGTCTGTTTTTTATCGTCACCTTTCTTTTAACAAAGTCTGGGACGAAGAATCAGATGGTGAGGGGGTGTGGTGGGATTCCGAGCGAAAGGCAGAGGGAGGACAGGGGAGGGATGGAGGAGTGGCAGCAAAGAGAGCGACGAGGATCTTGTGTCGGTCATACACACCATAATCATCAGGTGCGGTGGAGCAAAGAGCCAGAGCACTGTCACACACTAAGCCTGTGTACTCGTACTGTCCCTAGTTTCGTGGTAGATGTCTTGAGGATTCTATCACGAACTGGATATATGGGCGGAAGAACATACATAAAGATTAGCGGCGACTTGTCGGACCTGGGATAGAGGCTTGTCAGTTGAAGCGCGCGCACACACACACACACACACACACACAATATCCGTAAAACAAGGGTAGGTAGAAGAGATGATGAGCAGAGAGCAATATCTGCTTAACAACCGCAGTTCCATACCGTCATAAACTCGTTGGCGATTGGGCCCAGCTTGCTGTATAGCTGTTGAGATGTGTTAGCAAAGCTCAGCACCCCGATGGCCGTAGCTGTCAGGAGAACATCTTGGTTCATACAATCTGATAGCCATTGTTCGAGAAGCCAGCGTACTGCTGCAGGGAATCATCGTCACTTGGTAGGCTCTCCGTCGCCTGGATGACCCCGGCCAGCGTGCGAAATGTGGCCAACTTTAAGCAGAAGTCATCGTCAACCAGGAGGCCTCGTGGGCTCAAGAAATCTGCGTCCTGAGGCATGGTGAAGTTGTAGGGGTCATTTTGGAGATGAAGCTTGCCGGATGGAAATTGCGATATTTATCTCGATCGATCAGATTATGGTTCAGTCAAGTAGCTTGGAGTCTATGACGAAGAATCGTGCAAGCATGACGTATCTGCTTTCGGTTGCAGCTTGAGTTTAGATCCGCGCCTGATAACAACGACATTGCGTTGCGAATCAGTATACTAAATGTGGGGACCTTTGAAGAATATCAGTATGGCATTCACCCCGCGGTTTGTCCCACCCGCAGGTTTATATTGTCCGGTAAGGCCAATGATTGCCTGACCCACACAATGCCGACTACAGGGTAAAACAGGTCACTCGGAAGCCAAACAAAATCTCTTATGCCTACCTCACCGTTATGAGGGAGTTGAAGTCTTCCGGTCAGCGTGGTGGGTAGCGGCTGCTGCTGTCTAGCTGTGTCGGCCAGGGAAAAGATTCGGTACTCATCTCGGTTTACAATATTCTTCCACCGACAGCATGTTGGATAAACTGGTCATCGATGACCGTAGTGTCCAGCAATAGTCACGTAGTCTCATAGTGAACAGCCTATGGGATATGTATTTGCTTGGGTGCGCATTGAGATTGTGACTGGATCGTGGATGCTGAGAGACCTACCCTCAGTTTGTCTTAATGTAAACTAGTTAACTTAGCAGCGCTTGATTAACTGACTATATAAACCCTTTCGTCTTAGTGATTCAGCCTCTTGTATCACTAAGCTGCTTGGTGATATAACTACTTGTTTCGCCTACCTCAGATGTGTGCGTGGACAGGGCGTGCTGGGATGGTGTACTGTGCATCAGCGCCGTGAGCTGTGAGACTGCTGACATGACCACGTACAGTATACACATCAGAGAAGTCAGCTTTCACGGATGACCTCAGCGGTCCGCGGCAGTTGCATGGCCGTTCAACAGTCGCTACTGAAGGAATAGAACAGATACAAGTTCCTGGAGTCATCGTACTCGTGAGCTTACAGTAAGCGAGTCTTCAGCTTGAATGAAGGATCAAATCCTAACCGCCTAGCTAGTCTGCCCGAAGGAAGAGCTGGTCCACCGACAGGGGATGATAAGGCAGGTCGTGTCCGATAAGGCCTGTGATCCATGATCCATAATCCACTCCTGGTCCGAGCGTCGCCAAGATCATAATCACTAGTGAGCCAGTAACAAGGCATTTAGTTATCCAGGGTGGAGTGAGAGGATCTCCACAGGGTCTTGCCACGATCCGTGACGCGAGCCTCTTGTCGAGGGGAAGTATACGAGAGTCTGTTGATTCTCGCGACGAATCATTGTCGTTACACCCACTTCAAGGGTCGTTTACTTCAAACCCATGCTGACTGTACTGTGCTCACGAGGCATAAGACCAGTTAAAGGCGACCAAGTTCACATGGAATCAAACCCAGAGCACAGTTGCTGCTGGAACCCTAGGAGAGTGGGCCAAAGGCTGCCGAGGTTCTATGGCGCAGGCAGGTCAGATTGACCCCTCCATCATCAGCAGCGGGCGTCTTGGCAGCGGAGAACCTCACAAATGGTGCTGTGGTATTGAGTTCCGACCTGGCAGTGCACTGCAGGAGCCTGGAGCAGGACCAGCACCAACTTGCCAAATTCCACGGTTGCTGCTGATGAGCGAATGAATTCCAATAATAGATGAGGGGAAGGTGGCTCTTGACGCAGGTTCCCAAGCAGCAGTCCGCATGGAAAAAAGGCACCCGACCGCATCAAGGCGGTGTCCAAGGAGAAAATCCGCAGCGGTTTCCACCTTCAGAAGCTGTCTCAGAAGACGGAGTCTACCTTGCTTCTGCTCTTGATAATTAGCAATCATCATGCCTTAACCCACGCACTTCCAGAGGGCTCATGGATTCTCTTAACTGAGTAGTCTTGGCGTGTGCCCAGCACCCGGGTCAGACGGCTCTCGGCGACCGTTCGGCTCTCCATCCATATTTCGGCACGCGATCACGGAAGCTAGTTCTAACCGTAAGATGTGACAGTACTTTCTACTTCTAGATTGTCTGTTGTCAGCAAACGTAAGAATCGAGATAGGCAGCTCAGACGAGCTGACATATCTCACCAGGTAAGACATGGCCGTAATCAGCAAAAGCTCGCAAAGCGGTGAGACACATATCGCCGCTCCAGGATCGATAGGTCTGACCAAGTGACATCACAAAATCTCGCCAGTAGAATATGCATGTTTCAACCAACATACCGATGAAGCTTTGCATCTCCGAAGAACCTTCTTTGAAGGACCGAAAACTTTTGAGCTTAGAGGAAGAGGAGTTGCGGTGTGCGGGGGAATTCCGGATAGTGGGAGAAACTGCAGGTGCACTTATGCACGCTGGTCCCGCTTCTGTGGAATCCCCCTCAATGGGTTACAAATCTCATTTTCCGCGCGGGTTGGGTGCTGAGAAATAAGAAGTAAAAAGATTTAGGTAATTCATCGACTATCTAGATACCGCCACGGCCGATCGAATGGAAATCGAAACATCCTGCTCTGTACGTGGTAGGAAAGAGCTACCTATTACCCCGTTGTCGTCCAGTACCGAAGACACCGCGATGCAATATCTCTGCAATAAAATCTCAATGAACCTTGAACCGCTGCGAAGGGCGATGTCGTACAAGGGGAGTGATACATGGGGACTCTTCCGTAGTATCGCAGATTTGAGCAAGATAGGGTACAACGCGATCAAAAGTAGCCAACACCCCGCAGTCAACCAAGCCAATATATCGAGGAATTAACACTCCCCTTCGTAGGGGTACATCAAAGTATGCTGGCAATAATTTGAGGCTTATGATGCATGGACTCCCGGTATAGTAACATGTTCAATTTGCTAACTGTCTATCGAAACTACCGTGTGAAGCATAACAGAATCCGCGATCGTAATAGCCTAGTCCTTCAACCCCCTTCGCTCGTAGCATGGAGATGAGCGCATGCATGCATGCTTCAATAATCTTGCATCTCATCAGCGTCAGGCGTAGAAGAGCGCGACCACCGCACCCAGCAGAGCCAGCGCCCCCTTGGTAGTCCCGGCGGTAGACGCCGCGGCACCGACCGACTGCTGCGCGGCGGCAGTCGCGGTAGTGCTGGTCGAGTTGGAGCTGGACGCCAAGGATGCGGTGGTGATCGTAGCCTTCGACGAAGCCGCGGTACTCGTACCTGTGACGGAAACAGCAGCCAGGTTAGTATGGTCATCTTGCAGCTGTGTGTGAAGTATGGTCTTGCCTAAAGAAGACAAAGGTGTGATCGACGACGCAGGTGTCGACGATCCTGGAGTGGTGGTGGTGGTGGTGGTGGTGGTGGTGATTGAGGTAGAAGTGGTCTCACTGGATGTAGAGGAAGCAGTGGAGGTGGTAGAGGTGGTGGTGGACGTTGAGGATGATGAAGTGGTCGATGAAGATGAGGAAGAAGAAGGTGAGGAGGATGAGGATGAGGACGTTGTACCATCGTTCGAAGCACCCTTCTCGACTGTGAACACCGGGCTCACGGCGAGCTGCCCTGATGAATCAATGATCTGGATTTCGTAGTCATCTCTAAGGTACCACGAAGGCAAAGTCAACCCAGCGGTTCCAATCTTGGCGAGAATCACGAGGTCTCTTGGCTAAGGCTACATACCCGTTGGAAATGCTAGGGTTGGGTTGAGTGGTGTATTCCCCCTCGGAGGTCTTCACGTTGTCCGCCAACTTGGTCTGGAAGGAGCCATCCTCATTTCGCAGGATGATACTGATATACTCAGGATCACTGGAGTCGCTGGTGAACTTGATGGTTTTCGGGGTGGAAAAGTCCCATTCCGTGTCTGATGACGGAGTAGTGATAGTGATGGCCAGAGCCGAGGAGATCAGGCCCAAAGAAGCGAGTGTGAAGGAGTAACGCATTTTGAAGCAACAACAACAGAGTATGCTGGCTAGTCAAGCTACGGAGGACGTCTCACGATTTGCCAGGAATACAACTATATATACAGCAGACAATACTTGTGCAGTGTGCTGATGGCTATCTGTACCTCCTGGAAGAAAACCATATACGGACTCAAACGGTCAACAGCCTTCCAGCTGAAGCCCGACAGAATGAGACACGCAGATTGTCTGGGCCTCTGAGAGCAGGGAGCAGCAATACGAGGTGATCTCCAGTACGAGCTGAGCCTCGTCTGTGGAGACTGAAGCAGAGGCGAATAGTCACGCAATCGCCATCCCGGTGCCCACGTCAATGACAACAAACGGGGACTAAAAGGATCGATGACTGAATCAGTGATCTGTCATGCTGTGTTGGGATGATTCCACAATATCTTCCCAATCAGATGGGGTAAATTACCCTTACCGATAAAAAGGACTCAAGCTTTGCACTAACCAGGGTTCTTCTGATGTCAGCGCTAGGGCGGCGCTAAGAAAGGCAAGTCTCCAATCCGGCGGTGCCGATAAGGCTTGGGAATCGAGGCTATCAAGTTTGTCATTCTATTTTTGTGTGTATCGTTCTGTCACGTCTGTAATCTATAACCCGTCCTGACGGTAAGATTTCCCTTCGAAATGACATTGGCCAAGTCAGTGTCTGCGCCAACTGTCAAACAAACTGCCGTGGTTTGTAAACTGGGGCAACCGAAGCCGATGGGAGCTGGTGGCTGTGCCCGACACTCAGGGCGACCCACGGAAATTTGGAAGCTTGGGCACGGTCGGAAATCCCGAGATAGTCATACAATCATACAAATGTATGACGTTGCGTGTGAAATAGAGGCATGCTGTTGAAGGACATGCTTAAGGACTCTCAACAAGCGTGGATGCGTTTCAGAGCCACACACTGCAAAAGCTATCGCTGCTACGGACGACGAGGTCCAAATTGACAAAGCAATGAGAAACAGAAAACTGCGCCCAGACTTGAATTAATGTCTTATAGCGTAGTGAATTATTGTATTATAGCAGCAAACTCAAATGTAATCTGTCTTCCTGAAGGCAGAATCTCGACCATCTAATAATAAGATCAACACGGCGAATCGACAAAGAAGAAGAAAAAAGAAAAAAAAAGAAAGAAAGGAGGAAAAGAATCAAAGGAGGGAATGATGAAGGAGGGGCAGCCGACAGGATTAGATGACTAAGTAAGTGGTGGCCATGGCTGCCGTCACCAGCACCGTCCTTATCTCCCTCGACAGACCGAATAAGGAAGACTGAGCCCCGGTGGAGGGCGAGGGGCTTGCTGACGAGGCTGATGAGCTACTCGAGGTTCCGGTTGAGGATTCATCCTTACAGATATTGCTGCTCTTCTTCAGGCTGTCAGTGGGATAGTACACCCGAGGACCGCCATCCGAGCTGAGGTCAACCGTGAGATTGCCGCTGGCATCGGTGAGAAATGTTTTGCAAGAAAGGATCTCCGTCACGTTCTGTCGGGATTGGAAACCCGTGCCGTCGGCGCCCAGGGTGAATTTGGTGGTGGCTTTGGTGGCGGGCTTGGCTCCCAGGTTAGATACGACGCTCACAACCTGATTGCCAGCGAAGCCCTTGCGGATGGCTAGAATGTTGGTTGAGTTGTAGATCGGCAGGGACAGGTACGAGAGATAGTCACGCCCAGCCTGCGACTTGAGCGTGTACTGTTTGCCATCCCCGCTGGCATATGATCGAATGCGGTTCAACGATTGGACGAGCGACGGGAGGGAGGTCGAATCCATCGAGTAGTTCGTGCGCCAGAGAGCCTCACGATTCACCGGATTAAATGCCCCCGATAGGTGCTGCTCTTCACCGTAATAGACTGCGTTGCCTCGCTTAGTACTTCGGACTAGTTGTGTAGGTGGGGAGAGAGCTGGAACATACGAATGGGTATACCGTCTGCCAGCATGCTGGTGGTGAGAATATTGCGAGCAAGCTATTCGACAGACACAGGATTAGACTAGGTAGGCTCATCCTCACACTGGGGGCTGTGACCAAACTTACGGATATGTCCGAAGTATACGAGCCAAAGCGAGGGACGTCCTGATTCGATGTGAACGTTCCCAGGGCCAGAACGTCCTGCCAATAATTAGTTTCAGATTATCATTTCAGGGGTCAGCCAACTCTCACCGTGCACAGTGACTTGGTGTAGTCAATAGACTGGAAAATGGCGCTCAGGTCGCCATGTGTCGTATTGAAGGCGTTGGTGAGGATATAATACCTGAAAACCATCAACACTCCTTCTGCCAATACATGTTGGTGTGTGTACTCACAACGGATAATTCAACAGTCCGTTTAAATCAGACTGCAGTGGACAAATGTCTGCTGCAGTCTTTGTCGCACCTTCGCCAAACAGGAAAACTCCCGCGGATTTGTTGAAGCTGGAGAAAAAGTCGGGGTCAATGTTCAAGACACTGTCGATACGCAGCCCATCGACTACCCACACAGGTGATATTAGAACACTTGGAAGTGATAGACATCACATGAAACATTGAACCTACCAGAGTAGTTTGAGACCAGCTCCGAGACCCAAGTGCCCAGCATGCGCTGAACCTGCACATCCTCATTTCGCAGATCTGGGAGCGAGACAATATTGTCTCCCATCCAGCACTAATGCACATTTTTAGCACCTCCCCTACAACCATCGTAGAGAGAAACCCACATCCAAAACACAAGTGTCATTTGTGGGGTCCGAAGAGAGTAGTTTGTAGTCGTGGAAATATTTCCGATCGTTGAAAGGGTTGAACGTGCTGTAGTCGACCGTGGTGGAATTCCCCGCCCAGGCCATATCCCCGACCACGACATCCAGCATCAAGTACTATTATTCGCTTTTTTTCAGTCTTGTCTGACATTTTCGGGTTTATGGCCATGGTCACTCACCATCCCACGCTTGTGCAAGGCCGAGGATAAAGCTTTGAGGTCATTGGAGGTACCGAAGTGGGAGTTGATGGAATAGAGGTCGTTGGGCCAGTAGCCATGGTATGCTGTTATCCGTGAAGACGACTAGGTTAGTCTTGAGGAGCAGATTCACAGTCCCATGGGACAGTTGCATGGTTTCCTGAGCGTACCTGAAAGATCTGCGGTTCGTTCTGATATTTGGCTTTGTGCCGGAGAGATCCAGATTGCATCGAAGCCGAGTTCCTGGATATAATCGAGCTTGTTGATGATGCCGCGGAACGAGCCCCCACAGTAATTGCCTTGTGCTGCATCACAAGCGGCGGTGGTTGAGTTGTCGGTTCGAGCAAAGCGATCGGTAACAATTTGGTAGACGGAGCGACCGAGCCATTGATCTCTGGAGGCGGCCTCAACCCTTACTGTCCAGTCCGCCAAAGTGGCTGCAACCATCAACGCCCTTCTCCACCACCACCCGCTCATCATCGGTGACGTTAGCATAACCAACTCGGTGAGAAAGAAAGAGTATGGGGTTAGAGTGATGGATGGAGTCGGCAATGCTCTACTCCGTAGTTGCCCTACGCAAATTAAGTGACTAGGTGATCAAGTCATATAAGTTCATTATCTACGGAGTACGGAGTACCAGATCTCATATATGCGACCGCTACGTTGGTATTCTAGCAGCCTAGGATTGATACCTTAATTATTAGTCCCAGTTGGCTAAGTCAATAATGTTGATCATTAGATTGCTTTTAGATTGGATTATCCTAGGATCTTGGCCCCAGGGACGGGAAGGGTACAGAGTATTCGGAATACAGGTATTGGTATTGGACGTGGTATTAACCGGTAACGAAGAGTGGATCGGCCCGTTGACCAGCTCTGTCTGCCCTGAGCCTGTCATCGAGCCCGATCGGCAGCCCAGATACAAGACAGAAGACGACTGTCAGATAGTCAACTTAAGTTAGTCTGTCCTCAAGGTTCTCTTCGTTCCCCGGCACTGCCAATCTTGGGAAAATCCCGCCATTCCCGCGACGGGACAGTCGGCTCCTTATCTGCCCTAGTTAGCTATCACAAATCACAACCTGGAACCCGGACTATCTCTCCATCCGATCCTGTGTTCTGGGCTTTTCTCCTTGGCTCGCTTCCTTTGTCCGCAAAAGGCCATGTATCAGCATCAGCTAAGTCAACTTCGCTAGTTGGTGAAGTTAAGTTATCGCCTATGACGTGTTTCATTGAGGGCGTGCTAGCCGGTCGGGCATACATTTCACTGACTCCTCCCGTACTGCCCGTACATACGGGGTACTCCGTACTGACGGTCCCATTGATGGTTTTCTCGCCGATCCGCGGGTTAGAGATATATGACTTGTCGGATGGGAAAATTTGCCCTTGCAGCCATTTCCAACTCGGTATGATGAACACCATCGTAGAACCCTTCAAGCTTCGATGTTGAACATATATCAATATATACCTGTATCGACTTGCATGAATCATCCTTTCCCCTCCCCTCTCTTCCTCCCCATGGGTTGTCCGGTGCATGAGCTGTAAGGAGGATCTCCCCGCCGGAATGGGCGAGGAGCAACTGATACAGACCCACCTCGTACACCCGGCCAGCCCATTTCGACCACTCCAAGTGACCTATATTCGATGCATGTCAGATCCAGTCCATACGAGACATGAGGCGTCTCTTTTGGGCCTGGAACCTGGGTGTCGAGGCCCGAGCAAGGTGGCGTGGTTGTCTTTCAGCTGAAAATTTCGTTGGGATAACGAACATGCTGGAGAAGAGACCCACCCCCGAAAAGATGGCGTTTGTTGCCTCCAACAGAGCCGCTAAAATTAGGACGTTGTTTTCGACTGCCTCACTCGGTGTCGGCGCATGGAGGCTGTACATGACTACGGTATGGATCGCCTTATCGCTGCGGAGGGTTCGTTATCTACGCGAACATGCTTCGCAAGCTCATCTTGCGCTTCTGAGAATATTTCAGCCAATTTATCACTTTTTCTCCATGAGATACCTTTTGCACTCTCTCTGATCCACGCTGGATTTATTGCTGCTTGTATGAGTTCCTAGGAGATTTTGCTTCTTTCCCTCCGCAGTTCGAGGCTTCCAACAGTGTGCTGCTCCGTGGATGTCACTATAGCAGTGGCATTCACTGTGCGCCATGAAGCTGTTCAACCCCATCATTCGTTACCTTGCCATCGTTGCACTGGTAACTCGTCTTGCACTATCCCTGCCCTACCTTGAAGAAGAAGTAAATTGGAATCTCAATCAGAATCAGACAGCGACAGACCCTCTCGACTACTCGGGTCTGTGGGATGGCCATACCTACAACCCCTCACCGGACAACTGGCGGTTCCCTTTCTACACCATCTTCCTCGACAGATTCGTGAACGGTGATCCGAGTAACGACGATGCGAATGGTACGCAGTGGGAACACATCCTGACCTCCAACCAGTTCCGCCATGGCGGCGACGTGCTTGGTCTGGTCGATACTTTCGACTATCTTCAGGGTATGGGGATCAAGGTAAGCTTGCTGCCGTCGGAATGAATGTTGATTAGAATAAGTTGACCAAAGCTTAGGGCGTTTACCTCGCTGGCACACCGTACATCAACTGGCCCTGGGGTGCGGATGGATACTCGCCTCTAGATCTGACGCTCATGGATCATCACTTTGGGACGATCGAAGACTGGCGCACCATGATATCAGAGGCTCATCGACGGGGCATCTACGTTCTGTTCGACAATACCTTCGCGACGTAAGTGTGATGATCCAGATCCGGGAAATATTGTAGTGTCATCAGCTAATCGTGGTGGGGACAGCATGGGCGATCTTGTCGGTTTTCAGGGGTTCTTGAACAGGTCCGCGCCGATCAACCCCAACGAGTATGACTATGTATGGAAGTACGATCGTCGATACTGGGACTTCCAGCCCGGAAACGAGGTCGAGGCCGAATGTCCCTGGGAGTATCCGCGGTTCTGGGATGATGACGGAACTGGCTTGACCACCACAACTCTAGGTGCTTCGTGTCGGAATAGTGAGTTTGATCAGGTAAATCCTCCCCCTCGCCTTACCCTCCCTACTGCCTTCAAGGTGTCAGGTCGCGCTAATCCCTCATGGCTATTGTTCTAGTATGGCGAAGTCGCGGCGTTTGGCAACTACTCCGAATGGGAAGGGCAGATCTCCAAGTTCGCCTTCGTGCAGGACCGTCTGCGCGGATGGCGACCGGACGTTCTCGCGAAGATCAAACATTTTTCGTGCCTGACCATCCAGATGCTGGACATCGATGGCTATCGCGTGGACAAGGCTCTGCAAGTGACCCTGGACTCCTTGGGCGAGTGGTCGGAGGCGATGCGCGAATGCGCCCAGGAGGTGGGCAAGGACAACTTCTACCTCCCCGGGGAAATCGTGGCGGGAAACGCCTTTGGCTCGCTGTACATTGGTCGCGGTCACCAGACAAATCAAACCATCTCCAACATGACGGAAGCTTTCATGATGACCAACAAGACAAACAATGCAACCCGGGATCTTTTCTTGCGACCGGCTGAAAGATCCGCCTTGGACGGGGCTGCTTTTCACTACACTTTGTATCGTGGGTTGAGTCGGTTCTTAGGGTTAGTCCCCGCTTCCCTCGTAGTCCCCCTCTCCTTCTTTTCAGAGGCCAGTTGAGGTTGACAACTGCTTGCATTCAGGTTGGACGGTGTTTACACGGCTGAAGGCGATCCACCGGTTAACTTTGTAGAAACCTGGAATGGTCTTGTGCAGACAAACGACATGGTTAACACGATCACCGGTAAATTTGACCCCCGTCACCTGTTCGGTGTCACGAACCAGGATGTCTTTCGGTGGCCAGCGATTGCCAATGGCACACACAAGCAGAATCTCGGAATGTACGTTGTCTCGTTGCTCATGCCCGGAATCCCTATCCTCTCCTGGGGCGAGGAGCAAGCTTTCTACGTCCTGGACAATCAGGCGGATAACTACAGTAAGACATTCCCATCTCGTCTCTTGTCCAGCAGGCCCTGATCCTTAACACTGTAATAGTCTTTGGCCGTGGACCCATGTCCTCCGCACAAGCATGGCAAATGCACGGATGCTACAAGATCGGAGCGTCCAAATACTACGACATGCCGTTTGAGAGCGCCCTGACCGGCTGCGAGGACGACTCCGTCAGCCTCGATCACCGGGACCCCTCGCACCCCGTGCGGGGCCTCATCAAGCTGATGTTCGAGATGCGGCAGAACTATCCCGTGCTGAACGACGGCTGGTACCTGCAACAGCTGTCCAACCACACCTTTGACATTTATCTGCCTGGTAGTGACGGGACGCCGACCGAGACAGGCATGTGGAGCGTACTGCGCTCGCGCTTTGCCGACATGCAGAATTTCGACGGGCAGGGCCAGGGCAACCAGAGTGTTTGGTTGTTGTATGCGAACGATAACCAAACGGTCCATCACGAATTCAACTGCAGGGCCAAGGACGCGTTGATCTCGCCGTTCCCCGCGGGCACCACGGTCAAGAACCTCTTTCCGCCGTTCGATGAGTACACGCTGGTCAACAGTTCAAAGACGCTTGGGTATGGTAGTCCCCCGTGGGAACTTGGGTATTGGTGCTCTTACTGACTATGAGCAGGTTGGAAGGGTCGAAGCTTCCGAATGGGTGTTATCCTAACCTTACAATGCCAGCATGGGGCTTCAAGGCCTTCGTCCCGAAGAACAAATTCGTGCAGCCTTCGCCGTACATCACAAGCTTCACCCCGGGTCATGACGCGCGTCTCGTGCCCAACAGCACCGCTGGCGACACTGTGCGGATCGGCTTTGAGTTCTCCCAGGAGATGGATTGTGACGAGATCACTAGGTCGCTGACGATTGCGTCGAAGGCGCTCGACGACGAGATTCCCAAGCTGGACAACAGCTCCGTCTCGTGCAAATCCTTTGCGGAAAAAGACGTGGCAGGTTGGCCGGGTGCACTCACTAGTGTTTTCAGCTACGAGGCCGACTTGTCGAACGTGTACCCGGGAGTTCATCAAGTCACTGTTAGCAATGTGACCACAAAAAATGGAAACTCATCCACCAACGTGAGTACAAGCTCCACTACCCACGTTCACCATGTGCAGAGACTAACTGGATCTATTAGTCCGTCGACCACTTCCTTTTCCGCGTCGGAAAGCTAGACAACCCCATGGTCTGGCCGCAAGTAGCCAACTACAGCCGAACACTCCTGTTTGAAGTCCCATCCTCTGATTCAGGGGCTCTATCCGTGCGGCCACAAGCCCCTGGTGCAGACAAGTGGCGTTACTCGCTGGATTTTGGTGCCACGTTCAGTGATTGGATGACTTACACCGGGTTCAACACTTCGATCCCCAGCAAGAACTTCAGCGGGCCCACGCGACAAGCCTGGGACGGGGAGCACATCATCGCCCAGTACTGGAGCAAGCTGGCCGGAAGCAGTGATCACTGGCAGCACGGCGACAGCCAGTGGGAGTACAGGCCCCCGCGGCGCTTCCCCAACCTCTTCATCGAGGGCGAGTTCAACCAGTTCGGCTACGACGCCGGCTACTCGAATAAGATGACTCTCAGCAACCTCACCGGTCGGTGGGAGATCAACTTTATGGGCGAGTGGCCCGTCCAGGTTGCCTTCAATGCCTGGGGCATCAACGAGGACGGAACGCTGGATCAGACGCAGGTCTTTGGGGATCTCGATGGCGACAACGTGCTGGATCAGGTGCCCCCTATCACCCTGCTAAGCAATGTCTTCAACGTCACCATCCCGCCCCCATCCCCATATCTGTCCTTCAAATTGTCCGTGGATGACAGCGACCTCAGGGTCTACGCCACCCCGACGGGGTCGCGGTGGGTGCAGCTGGCCCTGTTCATCCTGTTGGCTGTCCTTCCTATCTCGACCGCAATCGGCGCGGTGTACATGTACCTGAAAGCGTTCTACCAGGTCAAGTTCAACCAGATCGGTGTCACGGAGAAGCGCTCGAGCTTTGCACCTCTCATCGGTGTCTTCCAGAAAAGGAGCCGTCCTTATGACGGCGAAGCGAATGCCGCCGCGATCGGTCGCGCGAATGTCAGTCCGTCTGTGTCTGACAGCGGCAGCGTCATCGGTGCCACGGTGGATGTCCGCCGACGCACCGTGCTTATCGCTACAATGGAGTACGACATCGAGGACTGGGCCATCAAGATCAAAATTGGTGGACTGGGAGTGATGGCACAGCTGATGGGCAAGCACCTGTCGCACCAAGATCTGATCTGGGTGGTCCCCTGTGTGGGAGGGGTGGATTACCCCCGCGACGATCCGCAGGAGCCCATGGTCGTCACTGTACTTGGGAACAAGTACCAAGTCGATGTCCAGTGCCACCGGCTTCACAATATCACATATGTTCTGCTCGACGCGCCCGTCTTCCGGGCCCAGTCGAAATCCGATCCGTACCCCGCACGCATGGATGACCTGGATTCCGCTATTTTCTACTCTGCCTGGAACCAATGCATTGCAGAAGCCATCAAGCGGTTCCCTGCTATCGACCTCTATCACATCAACGACTACCACGGCGCAGCCGCCCCCCTCTATCTTCTCCCTCGCACGATCCCATGCTGTCTGTCCCTCCACAATGCAGAATTCCAGGGCCTATGGCCCATGCAAACCGTCCAACAGATCCAAGAAGTGTGCAAGGTGTTCAATCTCGACCAGGCCGTGGTGAAGAAGTACGTGCAGTTCGGGGATGTGTTCAACCTCCTCCATTGCGCGGCCAACTACCTCAAGATCCACCAGAACGGGTTCGGCGCTGTGGGTGTCTCCAAGAAATACGGCAAGAGATCCTACGCCCGGTATCCGATCTTCTGGGGACTCAAGAGCATCGGTGCTCTTCCCAACCCAGACCCCTCCGACCTCGCCGAGTGGGATACTAACGCGAATCAAAATCCGGAGGAGGTGACTATCGATGCAGAGTTCGAAGCCAGCCGTGCCCCGCTCAAAAGACAGGCGCAGGAATGGGCCGGGCTCAAGGTGGACCCTGAAGCTGAGCTGTTCGTCTTTGTCGGACGGTGGTCGATGCAAAAGGGAGTAGACCTGATCGCGGATATCTTCCCCTCGATCCTCGACGCTCACCCCAAGGTTCAGCTGATCTGTATCGGGCCGGTCATCGATCTCTATGGACGCTTTGCTGCATTGAAGCTGAACCGGCTCATGGAGCTGTACCCCGATCGCGTGTATTCCAAGCCGGAGTTCACGGCCTTGCCGCCGTTTATTTTCAGTGGTGCGGAGTTCGCTCTGATTCCTTCGCGTGATGAACCCTTTGGCCTGGTGGCTGTGGAGTTTGGGCGGAAGGGTGCTTTGGGTGTCGGATCACGGTAAGATGAACCGTCAGCCCTAGTTTGACTGTCAATGCTAACGATTGTGTCAACAGCGTCGGTGGTCTCGGACAAATGCCTGGATGGTGGTTCACGATGTGAGTCTCTTGCTCCCAGACACGTTACGCATGTCCATGCAACTAAACAAAGTATAGTGAATCGATGACAACCAAGCACCTCACCCACCAATTCAAGCTGGCTATCAACGATGCCCTGCGATCTTCCCAAGAGACACGAGCATTGATGCGCGCCCGGTCCGGCAAGCAGCGCTTCCCTGTAGCGCAGTGGGTCGAGGATCTCGGCATTCTGCAGACCACCTCGATCCGGAAGCACGAGAAGCACTCCAAGCGCAACGAGCGCAGCTCCTGGAGAATCTCCAGCACCAGTACCTTGGTGCCCGATCGCAGTCGCAACATGCACCTCTCGTTGAGCCCCGACACCAGTCGCGAACACAGCCGATCCCGCAGCTCGACCATCTCACGCCCGCCCAGCCGGGCGATCAACGCCGATCTGCGACCCGGTGCACCCCGACCCGGCCACAGCCGCGTGCCCTCACTGCCCGCAATCCTGCCTTCCAACCTGAGTCTGGCCAGTAACGATCCTGACACCGACACCGAAGCAAGACGTCGACCCTTATCCTCGATTCCTCGCGCAGGACCTCGGGTGGTGTACTCTTTCGAGAACGAGGGCGAAGAGCTCGAAAACATGTCGGTGGCACCGCACACCCCTCCCCACTTCGCCAACTCGGGCGCCAGCACCCCAACCCTGGGCGCCGGCCCCGAAGACGGCTTACTGGGTCGCAGACCGAACCTGTCCATGATGAGTCTCGTCAGTGTCGACGACATCGTCAAGGAGAAACAGGACTACAACCTCCAGAAGGTCAGCCCCTTCTTCACGGACGTCAACAACGAGTACGCCGACAAGTTCGAGAAGAAGCTGGCCGACCTGAACGGCAAGAACTCCGAGGACCAGCTGTGCATCGAGGAATTCCTCGAGAAGAGCGAGAAGGACTGGTTCAATCGCTACCGCGACGTCAAGCTGGGCAAGTCGCCGCTGCCCTCGCCCTCGCCCTCGGTCTTCCGCTTCAAGGTCAATGACAACAGCCCCCCGCCGACTCCCGGGTTGATGGGTCCGGTGGAGGATCCGAATGCGGGCCAGTTCCTCCTCCCCAAGGACTATGTGCCCCCCACGGGGTTAAAGCGGTTCATGTTGATGAAGATCGGCGATTGGCCTGTTTATTCGATTGTTCTGGCCATTGTGAGTTCTCACTGTCGATCCTATTCTTTTTGTTTCATGCAATCGACTGACAGAATACAATAGGGTCAAATCCTCGCCTTGAACTCCTATCAGATCACGCTTCTGAATGGGCAGATCGGAGAGACGGCAGAGAAGCTGTACGCGCTCGCATCCATCTATCTGGGGTCGTCGATTGTATGGTGGATGGCCTTCCGACTGATGCCGTCGGTCTATGTGTTGACCATTCCTTTCCTGGTATGTCTCTTGTTTAGTCGGGAATAACAGCATCGAAGCTAAATATTCACAGATGTACGGGTTTGCCTTTCTCTTCGTCGGTCTCGCCGGTCCCATCTCCGGCGGTGCGAGCCAAACCTGGCTGCAGAATGTGGGAACGGGGTTCTACTCGTTTGCCTCTTCGAGCGGATCGATCTTCTTTGCTCTCAACTTTGGAGATGAAGGTATGTGGATACACAACTGCGATTTAAAGGGACACAATATATCTGACCTCTCTGTCCAGGCGGAGCGCCGCTTAGCTCCTGGATCTACCGAGCCACCGTCATCCAGGGCAGCCAGCAGCTATGCATCAGTTTCCTCTGGTACTGGGGTAGCTGGATGGCTAGTCTCAACCAAGAGGGCAGCACGCGATTCAGCCTCAGCATGACCAACCCGCACGCATTGCTCGGGATTGGCGTCGGTCTCGCGTGTTTCCTGTGGCTGCTGGGAGGCTTGGTGTTCTTTGGCCTGCCGTCGTATTACCGCCAAACGCCCGGACGAGTACCGACATTCTACCTCTCGCTCTTCCGGCGTCGCATCGTTCTTGTATGTCCCTCTCCCTCTTCTCTGCAACCCGTCCTAGTTCTAATCTCCAATCTTGCAGTGGTTCTTCTACATGGTGTTCATCTCGAACTACTGGCTTTCGGCCCCGTACGGTCGCAATTGGCTATACCTCTGGTCCAGTAAACACGCCAAGGTGTGGCACATTGTGCTGCTGGTTCTCCTCTTCTTTATCGGGGTCTGGGCAGCCGCCCTGTGGATCTGCCACGTCCTTTCCAAACGACATGCCTGGTTCCTTCCGATCTTCGCCATTGGTCTCGGCGCCCCGCGCTGGGCGCAAATGCTGTGGTCTACCTCCAACATCGCAACGTATATCCCCTGGGCGGGAGGTCCAGTGGCCGGGGCCATCCTTGGAAGAGCCTTGTGGCTCTGGTTGGGAGTGCTGGACAGTCTCCAGGGTGTTGGTAAGTCTCCTTCCTAACCCACCCACAATCGCATCAAATCCCCCCAGAGTCGCAAACTAACCCATCTCAGGATTCGGAATGATCCTCCTCAACACCATGACCCGCTTCCACGTCACCTTCACCCTCCTGGCGGCGCAGGTGGTCGGGTCGGTGGCGACGATCCTGGCCCGGGCCACGGCGCCGGATAAGCTCGGCCCCGGCAACGTCTTCCCGGATTTCTCGGCGGGTGTGGCCACCGGGCTGAGCAAGGCCGACTTTTGGGTGTGTCTGTTGCTGATGCTCTCCATCAATGTGCTTTGCCTCTTCTTCTACCGCAAAGAACAGCTTTCGAAACCTTGATTGTCTTAATTGCATTGAACTGCGTGGTTGTGATTGGATTATTTCATTTTCTTGTCTTCTTGCCTGGCTAGCGTGTGTCTTGGCTTCGTTTGTCTTATTTGGTTACTAATCGTTGGAGACATATCCGGGTGCATCTTCCCGGGGCATGATGTTGCTGTCTATAGTGAGTACATAGCATCCATGGGGCATTGTATGATTAGATTATCTTGTGGCTCGCAGCTGACTTGGCTGCTTGAATATAATTTTTATTGATCCATGTTGAATGGAAGCTCACGTATGCAGATGCCACTTAATCGAACAACTTACCAACATAATTTACCTAATGCTGGCTGTCAGCGGGGAATGGCGGAATGAGTCTGTGCGTCCAGCTCGATGCGGACTAGGGAGAACAGGGGTCACCGACTCACAGCCCGTCAAGGGCCCCCATTCCAGACTAGTTAAATTGTCCATGCATTATTCAGGGGAGCGGATCAATTGGTGTCACCCCCGCACATATATAAACAATACGAGGCGCCCTTCCTTCTGGCAAGGGGAGCTGCTCACCTGAATTCTCTCAACCTTCCACACTTGCTGTTGCTATTGCTGTTGCTGTTGTCGTAGCTTGTTCTGCCACTCTTTTCGGAACAACACGACCGTCATTCATTTGTTTCCTCATTCCCTGGATCTCATCCACCAATTCACTCTTTCAACTAATCTGTCCAGCTCAGTCCCTCATTTCCTCGGAACAACCAACATGACTCGCTTTCTGTCTGTAATCGTCACCCTCTGCGCCTACGCGCACTGGGCCCTCGCCGCCCTGACCTCCGACCAAATCGCCAATTCGCTGAACGAGCTGGCGCAGCAAGGCTTCGCCGCCAAGGATCTGGTCTTGGAGATTTATTCCACCGCGGACGCTTCCCCTATTCAGGTTTGTGTGGTTGCCTCAGGTTCCACCTACATGGTCTGATCATTTGCCCGGAGTCTAGGACGTCTACGCCGAAATGAGCACCATCGTCATCGAGGTCCTCCAGAACGTCAACTTCATGACCAATACCCCCGTCATCGCCGACCAGGCCGAGCAGCAGCTGGTGTACGAGGGGTACTCCAACGTAAGCGGCTGCTTTGCTTCCCGCTTGAAAAAGGAACCGTGTACTAATGCACTGTGGTCCAGTTCGTCCAATCCCTCCTCGAACTCATGGACGCCTTCGCGACCAGCGCGACCAAGTTGAAGTCCCTCGATGAGTCGACCAAGGATCGCGTGCCGTCGAACGTGCGCACGCTGGAAAGTGCTGTGGATGTAGGTACTCCCTCTTCGTCTCGATTGCTGGCGTGGGGGATGAATGCGTGCTGATCCGACCATCGCCAGGCATACTTCTACAACATCATCGGCCTCTTCCCCGCCAACAGCTCCTACAACGCCCAGGCCAACAACCAGAAGGCCCAGGTGGATACCCACTGCTTCCAGGCGATCTGGGCGTTCGATGCCACCGCGGCGAGCCAGACGGCGACGACGACGGCGCAGCAGTCGCGGAGTACTGGGCTGCTCGGCTTGCGTCGTCGGGGGGTATATCGCGCTTAGTCGGGTGGTTCTTCCTAAGCTTATGGGTGAGGATGAGTGAGGGGATGGATAGGCGAAAAACCCCAGGCATCTGTCCCGATATCCTTTTTGGCCGTTCTTTGGGCTCTGGCTGGACGTGTTTCTTTTATCTTGTCGATATAGTTGTGTATATTATATCTTTGTAATGAAGAGGATGTTGACTGGACGCGTACTGGGTTATCTGCCGGTCGGATGTCGAGGAGAAGCATTTGCGCGGTGTCTGAAGTGGAAGCGTAACCGTGGAATACGAATTGTGGGCTTGGCAGTCGGGTGACATCAGTTCTGGGGCTACTCTCCTGGCGCGTCGCTTCAACGCGGTTAGAAGATACTAAGTCTATACCGCTCAGATCAGCTGACCCAGTGTGACCGCTTTACAACCTTTTATACTCACTACGAGTAGATCATGATGCATGTACCAAAGAAGTTTCACAAACGTACAACCTGACTTGGAAGAGAGCCCCGTACTTTTGAACTGTGCCTCGCATAATCAATCCTGATTAGCGGATTAAAAAAAAACACAGAACATGGAACCAGGTGGAACGGCCTCGTCTCCGACATTACAAAACATGCTTCAACCTGAACAAGCATTAAAGCAATGCGCTAGAACTTTTCCAGGGACTGTTCCTGTTTGTTTCGGCGGTCTTCCTATGCCACACTCAGAAATTCCCAAAGCACTGCTCTTTGACTGCTTTCCAGCCCCCCCCC